CTCCCCCCGCTCTCCCCCTCCCCCCGCCGCCGCCGTCTTCCCCTCGACCGACCTACCTACTCCGCGGGTCTTGTACCGCTACGCTTAGCTGCCATTGTGTCGGAGACGCCACACTTCCGAGGCATCAAATTTAATTCTTCAATCGCGAGGAGAGCCGGAGAAAGCGGCAGAGTGCGACAAAGAGTGTATATGTGCGTGCGTGCACTTTGCCGAGGGGAGGGGAAAAAAAAAAAAACAGAAGAAGAAGAAGAAGCGCGCGACTTTGCGCGAGTGATACGCCGGTGGTCCGGATACCGACGTGGCCCGTGTGTCGTTCACCAGCAACGACGAAGACGACAACGACGACGTTGTTGTTGTTGTCGTCGTCTCGTCACGGAGAAGCGGTCGCGTGCAATCCTCGTTCTCTGGGAACTCACTCCACCGATGTTGTGCGCTCTACCGATTCTCTTTAAACTCCCGTGGAAGTTAGGTTAGGACAGTTACTTCCGCAGGTATTGGCCGATCGCCTCCTCCCCTCCCCCTTGTCTCTTTCTCACTCGGTCTCCCTTCCCCTCCCTTCCCCTCCCCCCCCCGCTTCCCTCTCTTCGTGCCTTCACGCTAGTGGCGGCGTCTCCCGGTCACGGATGTTTTCTCGATTTCGCGCGTCGTCGTCGTATGGGATCATTGGGATCTCGTCGTCATCACCATCATCATCATCGCCTCGCCGCCGCTGACCGCTTGCTGTCCGCGCGCGCGCGCGCGCGTGTGTGTGTGGCGTCGGCGATACTCTCGCGTCACGCGGCGTAATCGCGCCGGAGGATTTTCGGGGATCCATCGGGGCGCGTCGTGCGGCGGGGCGCGTACCGAGAATGCGCGCAGGAGAGATTCGGTAACCCAGTTGTGTGTATGCTAACCGCGAGTAGAGCGAGTAGCGCGCGCCTGTGCGTGTGCATGCCTGCGTGTCCCCGCTTTAGCGTATGGTCCGGTGTGTTCCACGCGCGAGATTAACATGTCGCGGCTGTTGCTGCCTCCTCGCAGCGCGCGTTTTCAAACGACGTAACGCGATATATTCTTGCGCTTTACCCCCCCCCCCCCCCCCCACTCCCACCCTCTCTCGCGCGAATGAAACACGTCTCCGTGCCGATCGGCTTTACACGCGTGTAAAATTTGTGATTGCAGAGTGACCACGGTCGCAAGAATGGAGGCCATGGATGTGGACGGAGATTCGGTGGTGGATCTGAGCATCAGGTGAAGTAACGTGTCTGTCCGAGAAGAGCAGAGTTCTCTCGCGTTATTGTACTTCTTCTAATTAAGTAGGAAATAAAAAGAGCAGTAACGACAATTTACGCCTGTTTCTTTATGGCGGGATCGCTTCAAATTGTACAATTTTAAATGTTAAAATGAGGGACAATTATATACTATGGTAATTTATGATAATGACACCTTTTATCCAGGCAGGAATTTCTTATCAGTATTAGGTTCTTATCACCGTGTGACGAAGAAGTAGGTTGTTGTTACCTTTTAGCTTGACATATTCTTGAATATATTTAAAACAATAAAACTTTCAAGTCTTATTTATTCTGCATGATAACAAATATTTATGCGAGAAATTCCCTAATTCTTGTAATACCGTTCTTTCAGTAGCAGTGGTAGGCGTAATTCCCCGTCCCTTTCTGTGAATGCTGGTGACATCCCGTTGGACTTGGGGGTTCACTATTCCTCCGGCTCCAATTTGGAGAACAATATGCCAGAGGCACGTAATATACAAAACGCAGCCCGTGGTATCTTGGCTCCTAAACGATCACATGGGGACGAACGTAAACCACGTCGTAATCTTAGACCTAGAATCGAAAGGAGTTATGCCGAGAGTCCTGATGAGCCTAGGATGAATGGATATCTAAATGGAAATGCTTCGGATAGCGATGAAGGTTGTTATTATTCTTTTCTTCATTTATTGGTGAAGAATAGAGAATAATTTATGAATTTTTATCTCAGTATTAAATCGGTTTTTATTTATGCTGAATGCTTAAACAGGTGACATGCCTCCGTTGGTGCCAATCAAGGAACTGTCATCCGATGAGCTGGCTGAACGCGAAAGACTGCTCAGAAAATGTAGAGTAGAGCTCAAATCCGAAGAAATGAAATTAGTGCTTCTGAAGAAATTGCGTCAGTCTCAGCAACTGAAAGAAAACATTGCGACAGCACCCAAAGTGCTTAATAAATTACCACCGCCAGTAACGGCACAGCAGGTGCCTCATAGGTAAAACTTTGTAATAATATTCTTTTTCAAAATATAACTTTTACATTGTTGAGTTAAGTTGAAATAAGTCGCTTTCTTTATCACAGAGCTGGAAAAGCACCTCCGCCTTTACTTAAGGGTCAGCCTGCACCGAGCAGAAGTAGTAGTTTACATGCTCCACCGCCTGGCATGGTACTGCCTCCTAACGCTGGTCGAAATGCAATTCCAAGTACAGGCGGGATGCCTCCAAATATGGTAATACCACAACCACCTCATCCTAGAGGAAGACCACCCAGTGTAGCGGCGGCAAGCGTCTCGAGTTATCATGCGCCAACGGATAGAACGGAGAGATCTACAAAGGATCCAACACCGACTCCAGCGCATCAAGTAAGTAAGGTATAACATCACAGTTTATTATTTTTAGTATAAGCTCTACACATATACTACTTAATGTTAAGTTATAACTTTACTTGAACCTTAAGAATAAGTCAGTAAGATCACTGAAAGCTCTTTTATCGAATAATTTTAAGAACTAATACTTTCACTGCTAATACATTACTTGTGATCGTTCAATATAATACAGTTCGAGCGATCGTTACGCGAACGCTGACCCGGCCGTGAAAGTGTTAAGTAATTCTTTAATTGTGAACAACATAATCAATTTATGTAATCAATTTATTGTGTTTTTCTAAACACAAAGCTGCTTGCTGGATCACAAGAAAATAAAACCACCGCATCCTTAAGCACACCTGTGAATTCGGAACAGGTATATTCATTCGTCGATCAATATATAATGTCTTTTCTGTCTTTATTCTCTAAAGGCTGTTAATCTGTTTTTTTTTTCTTCACTGTTTGATCATGATATTTTAATTAAGCTTCATTTTCTTTGCTTTATGTTTCTAACGATTCTTTATTTTGTTAGTGAAACTATATATACATATATAGAGAGGAAAGTATTTTTTTTTTCAAAACTTTATTAATGTGTAATATAAGTTGTAACATGCAGCATTGCTAAACTTTCACTAACATGTCTATTGTATAAATGTAAAGTATATATATATATATAATTAATATATATATATATATATATAAAAGAAAATATCGCATAAAGAATATATTACACACAAATAAATAAATTAATATTTAATAAATTAATTTGCTTGCAGCTATTAAGTTTATACTTTAATATGTATCCACACACACGCACACGCACACGCATGCACACATACAAAATATATAATGTGCAACACATAAACACAGATTAAAATGAGTTATTCTAAAATACTTTAACTTTTATTTTTTATGTTTTTCTTATTTATTCAAGACGTTTGTTTTTTGTGTTGGAAAATTAACTGTATAAAAAGTACAATTTATTACATTAAATTATATTTATCTTACATTTTCGATAATGTAGGAGAGAACATCACGAGAAGAGACACCTGCTCAACGTCAAGCAGCTGCCAAAATGGCCCTAAGAAAGCAACTCGAGAAAACATTATTACAAATACCACCGCCAAAACCACCACCGCCAGAGATGCATTTTGTGCCGAATCCCTCCAATACGGAATTCATATATTTGGTTGGTTTGGAACACGTGGTCGATTTCATAACGAAGGAACCGGCAATACCACCACCTCCTGAACCATTCGAGTGCTCACAATGCAAAACAGACTTCACGCCTGTATGGAAATGGGAAAAACCTATGCCTGGTGGTAAAAAGGATAGCCCCAGAGGGCAACATGCAACTTTCCAACGTCCTTCAGCGGGCCGCGATCCTAGGGTTATATGTGAGCATTGTGTGACAACTAATGTAAAGAAAGCGTTGAAAGCAGAACACACAAATCGGTAAGTTTTATGTATCAAAATAATAATGCAGGAATAATAATAAAATCTAACATATATATTATATATAATGTATTACATATATATTTAAATAAACGAATATTGAAAATTTAGTATATTTCTGCAAAATAAAGGATAAAATAATGTTATTTTCACGCCTAATGGATTTTACATGGTGTTACAGATTAAAAACTGCTTTCGTGAAAGCGCTACAACAAGAACAGGAGATAGAGCAAAGGCTAGCGCAAGCGGCATGTCCAAGTCCAGATCCTCCAGCTCCGAAACCAGTTCCTAAGGCAGCCACTCCTACAAGAAGAGTGGGTACGCCACCTGCGCCTCCGCCGCAGGTGCCACCGGCACCTACGTTGACGCCGACTCCTCCCGCGCCGAAACTGCAAGAGCATCCCTTAGTGAAACTGGCCGAGAGCGGGAAGTTTACTCCGCATCATGCAGCTGCTGCGGCAGCTTTGCAGCAACAATTGCTCAGAGGTGAGCAAAAGTGTATCTTTGAGAAAGTCTTGACCGAAAACTAATAAAAATTAATAATTTATCTTATTCTTCATCATTATTGTTCCAGAATTGGCTAAGAATCCAGTACCAGGTATACCACCGCATCAACCTCTTCCTGCTCACATGATGCCACATTTTACCTCGATACTGTATCCCTACCAATTAGCAATGGCTGCCGGTGGTAAAGGCCTCGTAGAGTTACAACGACAAGCGGCGGATCTTCAACGTCAATATCTGCTCGACATGATTCCGTCGCAGGCATCTCAAGCGCAAGGCAATCAAGCACCACCGAGAGCTCATCCACATAACTGGAAAACGTAACCGGACGCATTTAAAAGATGATGTAGCAGTAAATGCGAATAAACAGTGAAAACGTGTATAACGGAAGAAATGAAGAAGCTAAGGAGAATCTAGTAAAGTGTGCAGTCGTAATTCTGTACGTCTGAATTACACTGAATGCCAACGTTAGTGTCTCAGTTAAGGTGAAGCTCAACTTGAAGTACATCGGAAAAATGACATTCGTTAGTATTGTATAAATAATTGTTGTGAATATTGTCAATTGACGTGTACGTTTATGACTTTATTGTTATCTAAGGGGTAAAGGTTTTATTTCCGTCACTGAAATACACACTCAACGTACGTATGAGTTGGGATACAGAGTCGCGTCGTAAGTAATTAATTCATTGTTTAGTGGAGACCATCTGAACTCTCCCGAATTGGAAATGTCGGTCATTTCCTTTTTCCTGATTTTTTTTCGTACATATATGTGTTAGCACTTCGTTAACGTGTCGTTAACGTTGTCCACTGAACAACTGATATATAAACATAATAATTAATTTAAGCGTATCAACAAGCATATTATAACATTGAATGCAATTGCTTGAATTGTGAATACTGAGTTGCCTAATAAGACGCGAGTGAGCGATCACTTTGCTTTTATTACACTACTATTCTGTTCTTTTTTTTATATCGCAAATGTGTCCTCTCTTTTTGTTATATATGATGAATTTTATTTGTAAAGCTATATATTACTGATTTGTGCAAGGTAATGTATTTCTTCTTTTTATCTTTCTCTTGGTTAATTGTAAGAAATTTCTAGCATAAATAAAAAACGAAATAAAAGTGCTCGCTCGCTCGCATGATAAAATTACAAGTTAGACAACTCTGTTATACAATATAATATAAAGAACCAAATAGACATTTACACAAGGCACTAAATAAATCAATAATAAGTGTAAAATGACTGCAAAATCGGATTATTAACAATAAATAGGGATAATCGCGAGAAGAAAGGTACGAGTGTAAGACGAGGTAACGAATGTTGATGGAAAGGATCTTTTTAGGCCCTTAGATAGTTAATACGATTTTTGCCGCTGATTTGCCAAGTTTTGCAATCATCGGCAGTACCTGTACTATGTGTATATCTCATTATTTTCTCCGAACTGTATTTTTAAGGCAAGTTGAACGTAAGATAGAGCAGTAGCTACATACAAGGAAAAAGAAAAAAATGACCTTTGTTTGAAAGCGCGTGTGAGTGATGATAAGCCAGCACTTGTGAGATGTATAGCAATCTTTTTCTCTCTCGACATACGAAGTATGCATCGGCGAGTTTCTAATGAAGAGCGGCACGTGTGTTATTCGCGCACAAATATGATTTTTTTGTGCGACGTTAAGTCGTACGTTAAGTCGAGCTCGTAGAATATGCACTCGGGCGATGTATACACCGACTTAACTGGGACTGTTCTTGTACGTTAAAAACGAGACTCAAACGAATCTGCAATGGTAATCGGGATTCGAGTTAACGCAGCGCGATTAATTTTCATGTCACATTCAATGTAAAAGTATTTAAAGAAACTTACTAGAGGAGATACGTAATCGAGATTTTTGCGAATTGTTACAACACGGCGACCGCCGGATTTTTACGACATCCTCTAAGAGTCTGCACTTGAACGAGTTAAAAAGTATCCGGCACTTGTCCCCAATATTACCAGTCCTTCCCCTCACCCACCCCTCCCTTTCCTCCACTAATAGTCTGATTTAATTAATTCTGGGCTAACCGATCTTGGTCTCATACATTTCCGAATCAATTAAATATATAGTACTATAGTCTTGATATTTCTCGGTATATGATACAACTTAATAAACTAAAATAGCGCATAATCATCTCTCTTTGTACTACGTGATAGATTTTGAACTCGTACTTGATATACATGTACACCATAATAAGTCTACGATCGCATAATAGATCAAGATCTGTGTTTTTTGTGTAAGAAAAAACGTAATAATATGTCGTCAACTAATTACTGTCATCGGGGCACTACCGTCGTCGTCGTCGTCGTTGTCGTCGTTATTCTAAGATGAGATCCGGGAGCGAAATAGAATGACAACGTGAAGGAGGAGAGATTCTTAAAAGCTTGAACGTACTTCCCCGAAAAAATCTAGCAATATTTTATATAATTTTGATAATTAAAGATTATTTCCAAGTTGTTTACGTTAAAATATTGCTCTTTAAATAAACATTAGTGTGGAAATTAAAATTATTCATATAATTTATTATTAAAATTAATTATATATGTCTTTTTGTGTTAATTGATAAATTATCTAGTTAATTAATAAGTTATTAATTCACATGATTAATTTAAGAAATTGAAAGCGACGAAAGAAATTTCGATGTAAACTTTTTAATGAATTTTATTTAAAACTACTTGGAAGTAAGCTTATTAATTCCGCAATCGCTTGCGATATCTTACCTAACAAACGAAAGATTCAATAAAGGAATTTAAATTAAATTTATTTTCCGATTTAAACAAATAATAGAAAATACTATCTTACACTTCTTTATAAAATTGGCGCGAAGATGTGCCTGATGTTGACTCTTGGAATTTACGCCAATTCGGTAAAAAACAAATTATCATAGTCATTATCATTGTCATCATCATTATTCACAAATAGATTAATCGCATTCAGTAATCAAACCGCGTCTCGTTTCTCACAAACAAAAAGAATACGTTTCCTTCTATTTTTCTTTTCTAGTCTTGTCTCTCTTTAATCTCTGTGTGGTGCTGTTAGCAATTAAACACCTTTCAAAGTGCGAGAGAATTTTATATCCTAAAAAAAAAAGGGAACTCTCTTTTCGCTACACGACAGAAACGAGGGATGGCGAATATTTAGAGCTAGAATTCTAAGGCAATCGCAAAATGAAAAAAAGAAAATACGGGTCCGCTTGGGGACGTAAACATTTCATGACTATGAACCGTTGAAGACTGTGTGACGTGCGCACATTTTTTATTTGTCAAGGAAAAAATTGCGAAATTCGTATACCGATCTTGGAACATCTGTCCGAATGAAAAGCGTTGTCCCCACAATTTATAGAATTAGTAGATAAATAAAGATTACCGAATACTCTGGAAACTATATGAATAAAGCTTACCAATGATTGTATTAAAAGGTGATAATTAATTATCTTTTATAATTTTCTTTTTTTTTTTTTATTTAACGCATCTGCGAGATTTTCGTTCGTATTTGTAATTAATCTATGTTTGTATCGGCGAATCCAAGATTATGTGTGTTCTGTTATAGTAATTTCTTAATTATTCGATGTCTTGCCAAGGATAAAACAATAAAATGCTGGTGGTATATGAACCTATGTATTCGCACATTTATGAACGTATGAATTTATTGATTTATGTACCAGAATCTTGACCTGTAAATCCATAAATCGATTCAAAAAACTTAAAATTTTTTTAATTTTATAAAAATTACATTCTTTTCAAAAGAAGTGCTCTAAAGGTTTGTAGAGTACACAATTAATAGCCAAAATAAAGGTCAAAAATAAAAATTAAATATGTCACTGGATAAGTATAAATCGTTTTCCATATATATGTATTAATTACATTTTACAAATTTGACAACAATTCTACAACAAATTTCAGTTCATATGTACAAATTGAAAAAACCGAAGTAATTTTTGCGTCTGTTTAAGTAACATAATTGTATATCATATATCATTCCACAAATAATATAAATGTCTGATTGTAGATTTGTCATTTGAATGATATGAAGATATTCGAGTACAATCAACTGCAGAATTAAAAATCTTTGTTTCACAAAGTTGGACCTAGAAGCAATTAGATTGATGGACCAGTTTAACGATTTCGAGGGTAAATGCTGTATTTAGAGACACGGTGTAAAAACTTCGGTTATGCAATGTGTAATACGATTAATTAAGTAAATTTCTCTAATTCAGTTGGAACGTTTATGCAAACAATTTGATAGTGCAGAGGACAAGTCAAATATTTCTGTCACATGATCATCGTCATTGTAAACCAACTATCACAGTTGAGACATCTTCAGAGAAATCTTGTCCCTAATTCTGTTTCTTCTCGTTATACTGAGTTACGCATTTTTTGAAGTGTTTGGCGCAGAAGGGATACAGTGTCGGATGATCGCACGTTCTGCAAGCCGCTGCGAGATGAGAGCAGCACCTCAAGCTTTCACGGCAACAGGAGGCCCACAAGTCGGGTCCGGCAGCGGCGCAATCGTAACAGAAACAGTCACCTGCAATTCGAGATGCTGTTTAATGTTTGTGATTTAATCATTTCCTCTTAAAATTTCTTGCAAACCGCATTTCCTTGATTTCACCTGTGCCGATATCTGTTATCTTCAACCTATTCAAACTCGCGAAGCAACTTCCGCATTTCAACAAAGATGAACGTAGCAATGACTTTATTTGATTTTATTTTTCATTGCCAGCGTTCTCCTTGATAAAATCTGGTTTCAAAGTAATGAGTTCCGGATTGCCATTCTCTTTTATCAAGAATATTTTTAAAAAATATTTATATATAATGCATTTTTTATTAATAGGTACTTATATTGATTATATTCGAAGCTAATTAACTTACATTTACTCGAAGTACATAAATTAACTTATATTTAATTTATACTTTAGAAACAGTTCATGTTATATATATGGTATATATAAATGTTTTTTTAAATATTTTTTGAAACGACATTTAAATTCCAAACCCGTTTTGCATTCAGTTGTAAAATTAAAAAAACGACATACCAATTTATTTTTCAATGCTCTTACTATATTACTTTCTCTTATCCGTTGTATGTATATTTCGTATCGTCTTACGTATGTCGTATATTTGCAAACCAGTGAGACATAAAGGCGAAGTATAGCCGCACGAAGCAGTCGGGATTACTGCAAAGAACGTAGAATAAGATGAAAAAAATTTACGAGTTAAAAACATTTTCCTGTGTGTAAGATATCGCATGCATATATTTTTTACTCAAAGACTAGTTGTAAATAATCAGGACACATTCGCGGCAATGACATTTGCGAGATATGTTTCTTCAATCGCGCAATTATTATAAATTAAAAATCAAATTTAATTTTTCGCCGGGAATTATCCGTAAAATAACGCACTTGTTTACATTATTTTAAGAAATGCATTACTCGACGTTAAATGGAATTTGATTATATCCGGTGAACTTATGTAATCTTTAATAAGTAAGTAGTAATTACTGATATGTGTATATAATATCGAATAAGTCAAGTTTACACATCTAGTGAATTTTATATGTTCATTACATTTCAAGAGTCTGTCTGGTTCAAAAACATATAAAACAGAAAAATTACAAAAGAATAAAAGATATTAAATTTCGTTCAATGACTGAAAATGAAGCATAGTTTTTCCTGGTATATTCGGAAATACTTTGATTACAAATGTTTTCGCCCAAGCAACATTTGAGCCTTGAGAATCGCTGCCATATTTCGCGTGCAGTTTAATGTATGTACATATGTATAATTAACTTGAAAGCGCTTGCATGTAACGTGTGTCACCTAGTTGTACCAATTAGACTTTCTCAAGCATTGATTAGTGATTATAAAACACAGTAAGTGTTGTATGTTCCATGAGGATCTGGCGTTTGAATATTCGTTAAAATGTCAAACATCTCAAACAACGCCTTGATACCTTCCGACATTGCTTGAAATCGCGTGACTGCCATGAACTAAATTGTTTTCATTTGAACTCATTACATAGAGAAAGGTGCGATGCGTGATGCAGACCTAAAAACCTGTGGCTACGGACGCTCTTCTTTCTGTGATACCAAACGCTCACATATCATTCTAGTTACCAGAAATAGTTAACCCAGCCAGAAATTATTAATCGAATTAACGTCGATTCAATTAATCATTTCTGGCTGAATAATTGTGTAATTGAATTAAAATTTGCGATAAATATTCAAATCTTGAAACGCATGAATTTTAATTATGTCGCTTCACTCGAGTCTGCTTGAGCCAGAGTGTATTCGAAATTAGGTAATAATTTAATACTTTGCGATAATATATCCCAGTTATTTTTGCGCAGCTACCGGGATGCGAGGATTGCGAGGCGAGGCGTTGCGCGACATTAACGCTGCGTCGGCGAACATATAGTCATCTGGGAGCGGCTATTGTCAAGGTCAGAATCTCTATTGTCAAACAGCAAATAACGATGTTTTTTCTCCTTTTCGTAATAGCGAGGAAGCTTGCTAACGGTATCTATCGTTTGCGGATTGCATTGCGGTCAGATGTAGGTACACGCTCGCGTTACATCGCTGCGACGGTTACGAGGATTTACCTCGTGGACAGTCAACCGATCGTCGAGCCTCCGCCCTTCGACACTCCAAGCCCTCTTCGCCCATGGGACAGCTCGTGAACGATGCCTCGATGGTATTCTCACCAAGTATCGCATCGATCTGAAAATATTTCGTCATCATATCGCTACCTGAGCGTAGAATTCCATCGCTATAACACTCGCCGCTGTTATGAAATTCTTTCATTTCGATGGCAAATGTTAGTCATCGCAATTAACTCGCAAACGTACTGTTAGATTAAAAAAAAAACTTTTATCGCATTGTGTGTGTGTGTGTGTTCGCAATTGTTGATAGAAAGTTCCATCTCGAGAAAGTCCGTTTTTAATCGCTCGCAGCTTGAAAATTGTTTTGATTCATTCTTGTAAAAATCTACAATTAACTACGATTAAAATTTAAAAGTTGAAATTAGAAAATGACTTAAAATCGGAAAATTTTAAAGAAATTCGAATTTGTGTCGCTTATAACAAAAAACATCCTGTATACTTAAGACTGTCCGATTCATGATCGTAATTATCGCTGTAAGAATTATTTTATCTTTGTTGTTTATCAAAGTATAATTAAATAAAGACAAATTGATGTTTACGAGTATTGTGAGCGTGAATCAGGCAGTCTAATATCTCCTTCCATCGATAACTTTAATCTCGGAAAAGATCTTTTTAATTCTAATGCCCGTTTCTCTATCAATGTAGATTAATGAGTTTTTTATGATAAAACCCAAGCTTTAAGTCTTAACCCGTAAGAAATTGATCAATCACAACCAAATGTGAGAAGAATATACTATAATTGGTCAATTTCTTACGGCTCAAGACTTCAAACTTAAGTAATGGCTTATTGTGGAAAGCCCATAACTTTAATCTCGGTTCAATTTATTTTCCATCTTTTTCTAATTCTTAGAACTGAAAAAAGATGAAGAGAGTAAGCTGAACGAGATTAAAGTTAATCTACATTTCTGGAAACGGATACAAGAGAGCTTAATTCGTTACGAAGCACGTTTGTTATTACAAGCGACGTAATAGGACACACCGGTGATTATTTCTCTTCGTATGTCGTGCGCGTTTATTTCTCATGCGACGGTTGCATCACGAGAAAGACGATTTGTCCGGAATTATAAATCCGACTTGCGGGAGGGACCCTCAAAAACCGGACGACCTTTTTACCAAGGTACCGAGAGTTTTCCTTTTTCGACTGTCGCGACACAAATGCACTCGTGATTCTATCTTGTAAAACTCCAACTGACAATGAGTTGAACTTTACCGAAATTGAGAGATACATTTTGGCTCACAATGATCGATTGTTACAAGATTATTAATGCTTAAAATTTAAAAATTAAAGTTTCGTTGAGAGAGAGAGAGAGAGAGAAAGAGAATAGGATATTTAAGCGAGAATTAGCGCAATATAGTTTCGGATAATTAGTAAGGTAATAATTTAACAAATAATTTAATAATAATAATTTAAAATAATAATTTCGGCGTAACACTTTAGGAGTTGAAACACACATGACATTCGACATCCCCCGGCTTACCCGCTTGAACGCGCCCGGTTTGGAGAACATCTTCACCAGTTTCGCCAGTTCGTTCTCCTGGACCTGTTCCGCGATATCGGTGACGTTTGTGGCACAGTGAGTTTGGCGTGGCGGAAGGATCGCCCACAAACCAAAGAGGAATGCCAGCATGCATCGGCCGTGGGACATCGCGTGAAATGGGGAAAAAAAAAAGATAGAGATCAAAACGAGGTCTCGCGCGTTCGATCCCGCGCGATTCGAAACAGGCGACTGATGATCAGCTGGCGGGAACTCAGTGCTTGTTGAATACCTGGTGGGGATATCCTACATCGACATGGAAAAGCATTGCCGTACGCGGAATTTATTCATTCTATGAAAATAAGAACGCTTTATATGCGATCGCGTTATATAGGCGAATTACAAATGCTCTTAATTCCGTGTATAATTATTTCCGTAATTCACTATTATGAAACAATAAATTCTGCGATTTCTTACATTGTACATATCGTTTATTGATGATTACATGAAGCTTTGAACACTTTTTGCGAGAGAAAAATATATATAAGTTTATATAAATTTTATATCACGAGTTTTCTCTTTTTATAAATCAAGAGGCTTGGCGACTGACTCAATCACGTCTTGTATTAACCTTTTGCCAAAGATTTGATTTGAATATTGCTTAACAATGAATAGACATATGTATTTGCATGAAAGCTAGCTGGATACAACGTGAAACTATTTGTCGATCCTTTGCACATAAAACAGAGATGAACAAAGAAACAGAAGGTTTAAACTTCTAGTATTATCTTAAAAGGATGACTGACCAAATTATCTTGATTAGGGATGAGATGAGTTATAAATGCACTAATTATATAATGATATTTTTTGAATATATCATATGAGAGAGAGAGAGAGAGTATAGGAAAAAAATGTGTATTGATTTTTTGCAATAATAATTAATTAATTAATATTTAAAAAATTGGAGAAAAACAAGAAAATGTGACGCATTTGCTTTTGATTTCACTGAATTTTTGTAGATAGATCGTTTCTAATTAATTATTGTTATTTATTAGTAGTAGTATATAATTAGGAGTAGTAATTTTTGTATGTAACGCAATTATTCAACAACAGAATATTTACATTTTTGTTTAATAATTATTATAGTATTATAATATAAAATACGATTTTATATAAGTTATTATTTTAATTTCATATAATTGTATATTCATGAATAAATTAAATGTATTCTTTCAAATTGATTAAATTTAGTAAAAATTGATTTAATTACTTTAATCAAAATTTTCAATTCTCTTTTTTAGGATTTAATTTAAAAATCAGAAATTAAAATAACGTAGTTAGATTTTTAGAAAAATATTGAAAATAAAATCATAAAGTTATTATTGCTAGAGTGCTCGAACTTCATCGATATAATAGTATAGACACTTTTTAAATTCAAATTAAAAATGTCGATAATAGTGACATCTTTAATTTATTTCTTACATTTCTCTTTTATTCTGTCTCAGTCCAGTACATATATCTGTCCTTGGCATCGACTTGACCGCTGCCTACAGTGCCCACTGGTGGCAGGCTACTGTAAACCGTAATAGAGTTCGTCTATCTTCGTTTGTGTTGTGAAATGTTAAAATGGCGTCTTCTCAGGACGCTTGGTATCTCTCGTTGCTCGGTTTGGCCGAGAATTTCCGTACGTCGAACCCGCCCAACATCAAATCGTGCATTCAGTGTTTACAAGCGGTTTTCCATTTCAAGCCGCCGCAACGTGTCGAGGCGCGCACTCATCTTCAGCTCGGCAACATCCTGCTTACGCACACGAAAAATATCGATTTGGCGCGATACCATCTAGATCAAGCGGTCAGTCTTTTTGCCTCTTTCTTATCTATCACATGGAGATCGAGCAATTCAATCGTCCTTTTATTGTCAACCTCGTTCCTCTCCCCATCTCCACTATTTACACGCGACTGTTTACTTGTCCTAACCTCTTTGCGTGTGATGACAACAAATGTAGTTTGTGTCAAAGTACTGCACGGAGCAGTAGGAGACACCTCATCACACCTCCATTCAAAGGGCTTTGACAAAAAAAGATGACAATAAGTAGCTGCAGCAAACTAAGAGTACCTTAAGGTGGTGTAGAAGGTACTTCCAACATTGTTTAATCAAAGAGACTGACAAAAATAAAGATAACAAATAGTGTAACATCAAATGTGCTGTAGTTATGTGTGATTTGAATTTGATTTCGAAAGTTCTCAAAAGTTTGTTGCTCTTTGTACATTGGCCCTTACATGCTCTTATCCATCCTATGATTCCTGATAATTCCTTTAAGAGTTTATTCCTTTTCTATTGCTTTTTAAAGATTTGTTTGTCCATGTGTCTGGGATTTAGTAAATTTTCTCAGAACGTTGGTAACTACGTTGTTATACTGTCATATTTGTTTTATTCCCAATCATTATCTTCTTACAAATCTCTTTAGAATTCCTTTAATTTTGTAAAAAAAAATGTATTCCACTAATGTATTGGAATAATAAATGATGAATACTAATTTGACAAATGTACCCAACCTCTATTAATAAATCTACAAATAGCTAATTATTAAATTTCTAACTATACTTTTGAATCATGAATCATATAATCTGGTGTAAATATTAAATGTTGCATTGATCATGATTTAAGTTAGCACTGACCAGAATTAATGAAATTTATAATGATTCTTGATTATTCTCTTTAGTGGCGATTAAGTCAGAATATAAATACCTTCGACGATGTGAAGTTTGAAGCAGCAAGCATTGTCGCAGACCTGTACGAGCAACAACAGCAGCAGCTGCAGTCAAATTTGAGTAAACCAATTTTGAGGAAAGCAATAGAACTGTCTCAGCACAATGTTTACTGGCATTGCAGGCTTATTTTTCAACTTGCGGTAAGCTTAATTCTTTTTTTTTTTATTGTATTATCTTAATTATATAAATTATATAAATTCACATAAAATATAAGTAGAAACAAAGAGCCGTCTTAACCAAATCTGATATTTTTTCACTTAACTATATCTAATTCTTTGTACTTTGAAGGGATAATGTACTCATATATGTGATGATTTGTGGATTGCAGCAAATACATGCTTCAGAGAAGGACTTTGTTGCAGCGAGTAGCTTACTTGCAGTGGGCGTTGATTATTCTCACATAAGTAACGCCGGTTATACCAGAGTTCTCTTTCTTTTAAGTCGGTGTATGCTGCTGTTGATAGATAAGAAGTTCACTGAAGTTCATCCTCTTCTAAATTCAGCAAATCATCATATAGAAAATTGGCAAGGCAACTCATATCAAAAGGAATATCTGAAGGTGTACTTTCTAGTTCTTCAAGTGTGTCATTACCTTATGGCTGGTCAGGTGAGCATAATCATAAGTATTGTAATTTACAAAAAAAATATTGTATGGATATAATATCATTCTAATGGTAACATTATATTTTTGTATTATTAAAATTAGGTAAAGAGCGTGAAACCTTGTTTAAAATCATTGCAACAAAGTATACAGACTATAATGTCACCTAGCTGGCCAACAGATGATATGGTGGTCACAGGTTCTAATATCGGAGATATGTTTATATGGATGCCGAAAGATCATCTATACGTCTTGGTCTATTTAGTAACCGTTATGCATTCTATGCAGGCTGGATACATGGATAAAGCACAGAAATATACAGATAAAGCGCTTAGTCAAATTGAAAAACTGAAAAGTATGCCTATTATTTTTTAATTAATTAAAATAGTTGTTCCCTAAAATTACAATTCTCCTCTCGTTTTTTTGCTTACGTATCTTGATTTCTTCAATCAACCTCGTACAAATTGATTCATACATGAAATGAGAGTTGGATTTGAATCCGAGATCTGCCGACTACAAGTCGACCGTTCTCTCATAGAGCTCGTCATCCCGCATATTAATCTCTTTATTTTTTTACATTTTTCAGTGATTTAATATCTTGCAAAATCAAAGTCTTTATTTTACAGTTATCGATAATAAACCTATCTTATCCGTGTTTCAATTAATGCTCTTGGAGCATATAATCATGTGCCGACTTGTAATGGGAAACAAGAGTGTAGCTCTTACGGAAATTTCTCAAGCTTGCCAACTCTGCAGACGGCAGCCTAGGTTACTTCAAGGTCATAGACCACAACTACATGTATTACTAGGTTTATACGCAATGTCTATGAATTGTATGGAAGCTGCAGAGGCTCAGTTTACTGCTGCACTCAGAGTAAGAAAATGTTTTATCATAAATTACAATAAATAATTATAATATATAATTTAAGGCTATTTTTTTATACATGTTATGTCTCTAATCCATATTAGTTGCGCAAATTCTTTTGAACATTTATTTTTTATTTCCTTTTTGGCTGAATTTTACATACAAATATAATGTTAGATCTGTGAGGTATTCTAGCGATAGTAGATATTAAAAATAAAGATTTACCTTACCTTTTTCAGACGTCCCAAGAGAGAGAACTCTGGACATTCGCAAATTTGAACCTAGCGATAGTATACCTCAGGTCAAAGAAAGAAACCGAGCTAGGGGTATTATTAGAAAGGATAAATCCAGAATCTCTACCATCGCATTCTCATTCTTTGAGGGCAGCTGCATATTACGTACAAGGACTTCAAGCTTTCTTCGGTGCTAGATACAATGAAGCAAAGTATATATGATTTTTTTTTAAATATTTCTTCTCACGTGTCCTAATAAATAGTCTGATAAATAGGAATAAAACTTGTAAGTTTAATTTCTCGAAAAGTAAAGAAATGAGAGAATGATAACGGTCTGTGATTCTCAGTTAGCGACGTTAAAAATCTCAGTGTACGAACAATTTGAATATATTGATATATAAATGTGCAAATATGATTTTCAGACGATATCTCAGAGAAACCTTAAAAATGGCAAATTCGGAAGACTTGAACAGACTCACTTCCTGTAGTCTTGTGCTTTTGGGACATATATTTCTTTCGTTAGGAAATAGTAGAGAATCAATGAATATGGTCACACCTGCGATGCAATTAGCTTCTAAAATACCTGATGTACATGTACAACTATGGGCTACTGCCATTTTAAAAGGTATACACAAATACATTGAAAAGTAATTTTGTTATTAGCTGCAAACTATATAATGGAAATATTACAGATTTATATAGACTTTGTGGTGACCCTACTCACGAGGCAGAAGCATATCAAATGCATTGTACATTCTCTCAAACCCTTTTGAAGGACCATTTTCAGAGTACTCAAATAAGTGAGCATTCGCTCATTCATTGGATAGACGGTCCGGTTCCTGCATTGCCAACTAATCCACCACCATCTACATCGCAAGCAATTCTCTAATGGTGTAAAAGATATTTAGGTGTGTCCACTTTACTTAAATTGTTCAGCGTTGTCTGAAATCATGTATATTTGTACTAATTATCTATTGAATTGTAAAATGAAGTTGGGTTCAGCCTTACTCAGTTTTAAATATTAAAAGAATTACGATAATATTTCAAAAAATCGGATTTAATTGTAAACAAGGCGGAAAATAGGATTAATGGATATTTGATGTATCCAAACTTTTTTAATGCGCGAGATCTACAAAAGTATGATAACTAGTTAATAGCAGAGCTTAATAGCAATTTACAATATTATTTAAATCATCGAAATTGTACACGGCAGGGACTGACTATATATTTAGACCATTGATATTTTGTTTATTGCATTAAATCCAAGCTATGCAGAACCGAGTACTTTCGGTTTGAAATTGAAATGTGTCGGTATTGGTCTGAACGGACGGTACTTGTTAAACGGAATCGTTCGATAGAATTGTTAAAAGTTTTCGACCTGTGTCTTTCATTATGTTTAAAAGTATTCTCTTACTAATTTTATAAGATACTATTATTTATAATATACTATTTATAATATACTATTTATAATATAATATTTAACTATAAAAATGTATTTAAATATATATATGTGTATATATATATATACATATACACACATACACATACACCCAAATTTATTATTAAAATTAATAAAACGGAAAATATAATTAATAGTATTTTAACTATATATAGTTAAAGAATTTGCCTCTTTTAATAAATTATGTAAGCATATGTGTGTGGGTGTATATACAAGGTGGGACATTTAGAACAGGTCACCTAAATAACTCGCTTGTTTTTAACAATAAAAAGAAAAGTGTCAAAAAAGGAAATGTCAAACAAAAATGTTACTTGATTTCGAGGGGCACATAATATGTGATGTTAATAATTGTTTCATAGATGGAGGCGTAAAAGATATAGGCAAAGGTTAATTTTTTTTTTAATGGAATGATATATTTTTTTTATTTACATTCTGATAGAGTATTTTAAGACGAATACAATGACCTGTATAATTGAAGATCATTCAAGATTACGTAAGTAAATAATGGAAAATAAATAGTTTCAAGGCACTCTTTGAATAATTTCGTGTCTTTTCTGCTTATTGATATACTGCTAATTGTTCAAGTATATCACGGTATGTAAAAAGATCTCTTGTCAAAAACTCGTGATTAAATGAATGCTTTTAAATATAATGAATGAAACACAGGTCAAACAATTTTAGATTAGTATAATATAAGACCAAGCGTCACCAAGCGTAATAAGTATGAATACTGACATATTTTAATTTCAAACCTCGGTCTCCTATTCGGTCCTGGCCAGCTCTACACTAAATCGTTTTTTTTATGATAGAAAATTCAGATGCTTATCATCGTAATGCAGAACAGATATCATTTGCGTTTCTTAGAATTGTATGAACCGTTCTGTCGCACAATGCGTTTAGACAAGGTTTATATTGCACATATAGGTAATAGATTGAAATACAGAATAAAGTTTTTTATTTTTGTTTGGAAAATTTTATTGATTTTACTTTTCTTAAATAGGTTAAATGGCTTTAGAAATTTTTTTACTTCATTATTTTTATCACACGTTGAAATAAATAATTAAAAATTAAATACTTTTTAAATCAAACAATTATGTATATTAAAATATTTTATTTCAAATTTGTAATTGCAATATCATTACACAATCTCTTCAATGATATCGTAATTAAAATATCATTATACAAACAAAATCTTGTTTGGAAAAAATCGATCTTTAAAATGTAACTGTGTAAGTAATGAAGATGGGGAACAAATATCAAAATTTAGATATTAAAAATTTTGTATATATACTGGATTATAATAAGAATAATGAAATCGAAATAATTAACTTTCAGTCTGATTTGAAATTATCAATATATTCAGTGACTCATCAAAATGATTTTACTAATTCTTTTTTAATATTTTTTTTATGACCAAAGTAAACATTAATAATTTGGCTGTGGCACAACAGAAGAGTAACATGTTCATTAAGCGATACATGTAATAAAAAAATGATAGATACGAAACTTTGCAAGTTGGTTAAAAAGAAGCAGATTCTTTATCTATTGTATGTACAAGATTTCGGTATATATATACATGTATTTTTATTAAGATGATATATGTATGTATTGTATGAGTATAATAAAAATGTAATTGTTATATATATTACTATTAGTTACAGAGTAATAAATAAACAAAGAAAGGGGCCTTAGAATATGGTAACTTAAACAGTAAAAACTTGTGTGTAAAATTTCTTTATTCTTTTAAATTATTCTGAATATATTTTCTACATTTTGTATATTTTTAGAAGTAAGAAAATGCAAGTAAACAATAGAATAGAGAATGTAATAAAATAGGTTTATACAAATATTCAATTTTTTTCTCAACATAAAAGTACAAGCCTCTAGAGTAAACTCTAGTACATGTTTTGTGTATGTATATACATATATACGAGGGTCGTCTGAAAAGTTTTGAGCCTAACATAGAAACAAGTAATTTTTCGGTCAAATTTAATTTTATTTTTCCACATAGTCTCCTTTTAAGTCGATACATTTTTTCCAACGATGCTCCCATCACTTTAATCCATTCAAATAATACTTTTCTTTTTTACGATTATATTCCGATATTTATCTTTCAGAAAGATAAATTTAAAATATATAAATCACAGATAAAAAGGGAGGACCGGGAAAGACAATTATTGACAAGATAAAATTAATAAAATTTTTCAAAATATTGTATCCAAATTTAATTATATATGTATACAGAGAGTTACATATCTTTTTTCATAATATATATTTTTAAAAATTAGAATTTGCTTTCATTATTATTTTGACAATTATGCAATAAAGTGCATGTATATAGTATATTCGCGATTGTATGTTTAATGAAAATAAAAGTATTTAACATCTTTTATACATCTTCAAGTTTTCATAAAATATTTTAGATAATATATATTTTTATCAATTTCTTTTGTATATACATGTATATATATATATATTTAAAAAATATATATATATATATACATATGATTAACTGTAATATATTTATTTTATTATAATAATAACATAATGATGCAAATAAACTAGTTTCAGCCTTTTCTTTTTTTAATAAATATACATATATGAAGTAAATGAGACTGATGTATGGTAATAAAAAAAATTTATTTTTATTGAAATGTGATTTATTTTGACAATCACATTTTTAAATGACAACTCCTCTATTACATACTTAATTACATATCAATTATTTTACAATTTTTTAATAATTTATACATTTATTACTATAGATGTCAGGTATATTACTTCCTGTACCAAACTTGTGAGGTTTGCATACGTTTAATCTTTTTCTGTAATTGCAGAATACCATACAATAGTGCTTCAGCTGTTGGGGGACAACCTGTAATATAGAATATTATATAAATATATATTTTTTGTATTTAAATATGAATACAGATATAACTGCATTTGTTTATATAAATAACAATTTACCAGGTACGTAAATGTCCACAGGTATTATCCTATCGCAACCCCTAACCACTGAGTAGCTGTAATGATAATATCCGCCTCCATTCGCACAACTTCCCATGGAGATAACCCATTTGGGATCAGGCATCTGATCATAGATTTTTCTCAAGGCAGGTGCCATTTTATTCGTCAAAGTGCCAGCGACTATAATAACATCTGACTGTCGTGGTGAGGCACGGAATACCACGCCGAATCTGTCCATGTCGTATCTAGGCGCAGCGATGTGCATCATCTCCACGGCACAGCATGCTAAACCAAAAGTCATTGGCCATATCGATCCTTTACGTCCCCAATTTAATAAATCATCTACTCTGGCCAAAGCATACTCTGCCTTGTTACTGGGTTGAAAAGGACTGTATGGCTCGACTTTCTGTTTCTCTGGCAGCTGGGTCTTCGCCTCCTGCACTGATGATTCTGTGGCCATGTCTTTAGTTTGAACCTTCAATGTAGTAGTAGTAACAGGTCCTGATGCTGCTACATTGTTCCGCATCAGGGACACTAGTCCCTGAGGGACGTTATCTATAAAAGAAGAAATAAATAAATAAACATTAAATGGTTAATACGAATCATAACTAAATACAATTAAATTTTTAGTAAATATTAATCATATCTATATCTTGATTGCACTTAGGTTATGATCGGCATATTAATCGGTCGAACGTTTCGAAATAAACTATATACAATTATACAAATAAATGCGCATCGAGTTTGTGACGTATATAAGAGTATACAATACAATCTTATGCAATAGTACGACATTAAAACAAAAAGTGAGTAAAAACTGAAGTTTGTTTCGAGACGATATCGATCATCCGCAGTCAAGATATACGAAAATTTGTTTGATATGAAATTAAATACACATTATGGCAAAACTGTATCAGGATTGAGCATTAGGACAATCATTTAATAGTAATTGATATAATTTTTGATGAAATACTCACGTGTAACAGAACGAAACATTTTTTCGACTGTTTCGACTTCACGTCACAAATTTGCTGCTACATCGTAGGTTATATGGGCGCATGCGCGAGTTACCATAAACCTCAGTTTAAATGGCTGCGTTCTCAGCAGATGAAACAATTTTGCACTGTTGTAAAATTCTTTAATAATGAAGAAAACACAAGGCATATATAACATTTAAAAAGCTTAACATGTGAAATATTTAATAGTAAACGTTTAATACACTACATTCTTAAAATATAAGCTACAAATTTGGTAATGTTAATTACTTTTGGTATCATATGATACAATAATATATTATATGTACCATCCTCAGATATTTAAATAGGCACACAGTAATAATAAATGACTAAATATTAAAAAATATTTTTCTGTGTACGTTATTTGTATCTAATAATTAAGTATCTCAGCATAATCACAATGCCAAAATATGTAATATATTACAAAACGTATAGCTCATATTTTAAGAATGTATAAACGTATTAAACGTTTTGATATTTTACACATTAAAGCTTTTCAAAGACTCATATATCCTTTTTTAATATTATTACTTGAAACTAAGAATCCTCCTTTAATTTTATCAAAATTCTTTAATATGATTAATCTTGTCCTTAGTTTCTCGCCGGATCTAAATAAAAATGTATAAACCAATTATATTAAAAAATTTTACAACAATTATAAAGCTAGGCGTTCTTTAATTATAGCTGAACTATTTATATATAATTAAGTTTTTCTTTCTTTCTTTTGATAAAATTATTTATAATAAATAATTCTTTATAGCGATTATTATAATACAATTATCGGATAAAATTAAATTGTATGCTGTTATTTTTCTTTTAGTGCATATACATTATCTTTGGAGCAAAGAGAAGGAGAATACAATTTTAGTATTTTGTAGAATATTTTTATTGGCTCAATTCTCTTGTTTCATACAAAACATCTAACAAACACAGATGCTTCCGGCTGAATTTATTCCGACCTGCCTTTACGAAAAGCGGCTAATCTATCAATTTTGCATCTAAATGCACTTGTGTCTCGCAAATTCCCGAAGGGTACGCTACGTACAACGCGATTATCGGTTTGCTCAACAGTGCTCAATGTGGATGCATCTAATGGTTAATAAATACTAAGCTAACAATCGGTAAATGTAATAAAATGTCATGTATCTGTATTTATATTCTGTATGTGTGTATGTATATATATATGTACTCGTGTGTAATACTCAACAACTCTGCACTAAAGTTCAGCCGCGGACGGGGACATGAGGCTAGGCCATGGAAACCAATTTACAATCTCTGCGTAACATTTTTCGCTATATACAAAAACGACCACTAGATCCTTTAATTCGTGTCTGGACGAAGAGCTTCGCGTGTACCATGCACTCTGGTCTAATGATTCTTATCTCATCGCCGGTGGAGTTTCACGTGGCCGCGAACTCATCCTGCATCCGTATACATCATGTCCGATTTTAGGGGACGAAGACACGAAACTTGAGAGGCGACGGCGACAACGCGGATGGTCTCGACAATGTGATATGCCTTCGTAGAGATCTATTTAGCAAAAAGTTTGTTTAATCCATTAATGCCTAAAATTTTATAGATTAATTAACAATTTATTACCGCAACAACAACAAAGTTCCCTCCTCCAAAATTTTTCGTTGAGTTTCGCGCCGACTCGACGGCTCGCTATTCAGCGAGAGTGTAACCGGATACATTACAATCTTCTCTGAGAGGATCTTCGTGACTGTATTTCAATTGATTTTCGGTATATCTCTTTATTCCGCGACGAATCGTCGGGTGCGACTACATCATCGGGATTCCGTTACACGCGCGTTATGGAGCTCAGCCGAGGATAATCTATTTCGGCGTAAAATACTGACGGCACGAACGGAACGTTTGGAGCTCAACGATCTACGACGTCGAGCGACCTAGGCTAGGAGAATGTGCAGAGCATCGAATCGAAGAGAATTAGAATTATCGGAATGGATACGCGTTCGGTTTCGGAACTCTGCGCGTTAAAGCGTTTCGGAAAGAAAATTTTACGAAATATCACGTAGACTAATTTCAGCTGTCCAATGCGCGCACGTGTCCCGACAATAATCTGTCTATAATAAAAATCTCTGCAAAAATTGGAGCTTAAGAAATTCTTAAAATTAATGTAATATACTTTCACGTATTTAGAAAATTAATAGTAATAAGCTCTCCTCGTAAAATTATCGCATCAATACTTTCTGGAATTAATATAAAATTTGTATCCTTTTGTTTTTTTGCTCATAAAGATTAACACTCTGCGATCTCCTGTGAATCATTCCGCTACAAATTAGCGAAATTTTTATTTTTTTCTTTCTTCGAAGGAGATAGTAATTTTTAAAGTTTTGTACTCTTAGCCACAAATGTCGTTCAAAACCGCGCAAAAATCCGTGTTTAAGGATTTTCAGTCCTTATCGCGGAACATACATAACCATTATTTGCATATATTACAAAAATAGATTCTGGTAATAATTATACCAAAAATGTCGAATAAAATAATTTCAATTAAAAATGATTGATTAATATACTCAAGAATAATTATACTTCACTAAATATTTATGTAAGTATTATCAAATATAATAATGCAACCAACCGTTTGATAATAATTACTAAATATTTAGAAAAGGAAAATTATTTATAATAATATCATTTGTAATAATATCAATCCAACACATTTGATCGAAATTATTTTACTCAACATTTGGTAGCAATTAGGAGATTCCGTTTTCACATCTTCGAAAGTGTCCAGCACTCCGTTCCGGAACCGAACCGAGATCGAGGTTCGATGCCCTGAGTCTAGGGAAGTTATCGGAAGTAGTGTCTACGGAATGTCTATGGGATCCTTGTGTCTGCGATGATATTCGTAAATTGTGCGCCTTTTTCTCTCGTCCGGTAACGCGTACCTGCACGCGGCCGTCTCGGGATCTGTTTTTTTTTCCCTCCGTCGCGGTTCAATACGCGCGGAGAACGCGATCTCACCGATCGTCGGTTGCGCAAATCCGCGTGTCGCGGTACGCGAACGGCTCTCTACGTAGCGTTGAAATAAAAGTGTGAGAAAGAAGAGTCGTCAAGCGGCTAATGATTCGGCCGACGCATTTCCATGGCCGCGATGTCGTCCACGGAGATAAGCTTTTCTATGGGGATGCACGAGAGCTCGCCGCCGACGCACGATTGCGGCTGTTGCCACCTGGCCTCCCTTTCCGCTTCCTTGGCCTTAAGCTCGGCCTCCCGTGCGCGGCGTTCCTTCAACTTTAACGAGAAGATCGCCACCGAGCGTGCCCGTTTCATCAGACTTTGCTTCACGCGAGTCTTCTTCGCCTCCCGTTCCTCCTTCGACGGCTTCTCCTCTTCTTGACTCGAGATAGTCTTGCTGGAATCCGACAATCCGCTCGAGTCTTTCTCCTTTTCGGCGAGATAGGACTGTCGCTCGCTCATTCGATGATCGTGCGTTTCACGAGTTTCGCGGGTTTCACGGGTTTCGCGGGTTTCGCGGGTTTCGCGGGTTTCACGGGGTTCCCGGATTTCCCGCTGATGATGATGCTGCGGTTGCTGCTGGTGGTACTGTTGTTTCTCTATCTTCTCGCGTTCCTTCTCTTTTTCGGGCGAAAAGCGGAATTTCTGGTTCCTATGAGTCGCCGTCCATGGCGGTGCCGATCTTTAAATAAGAAACTAATGTATTAGTACCGAAATATACTCTTTAAATTCTTTGGAGTGGAATCTTACATTAAAAAGTGAAAATTGGACCAATCTTGAAACAGAGTGATTCAACTCTTCGAGAGCGCGATTTACTTTAAGTTTTTGAAAGTAAAGGAGAATAGCAATAAACGATTTAAGGATGTACATAAGAAAAATATTTTCATCGTTAGGAACAAAAAAATATTTAAAGCTAATTATTTTAATAAGATAGACGTGATATTTTATCAGAGAAAAATCGTACAATATACTGATCGTACAGCGCAGAAGTTCGCAACAACACTGTTGTAACGTTCTTAATGTTACTGCAATATTGTTGGAATCATCCTGTGCTGTATAGAACATATTTTATTCCTTATACCTGAGAAGATCGCTATCCGAGGAAGAAGCGAGTTCTTTGGAGACGATGCAATCGGTTGACCTGTGCAAAGTTAATTCCTCCTCCCGTCCGCTCACTGCAGCGGCACCGCTAATTTCGGAATCGCTCGATTTTCGTCCACTTGGCTCTAAACCTAACCGACGTACCCAATCGACACCGCCGTGTGGTCCGATGGTCAGGTGATGGCTGTACTGATCGTTGGTACCGGACGCTTCCGGTTCGTTGCTTAACCACTCCCTCGAGCGTCTTCCTACTGAGAAACTTTTCGTCAATTCATGCACAATGAAGTTTTTCGAACGATGCTGCATGCACTTTTGCAGATAGAGTCATTAGTATGCCGTAATATAACCCAACAAATTAAGTTACTTATAATTTGATGTTTGCTGGGAAGAAGATCATGATCAACACGTCGTCTGCCATCCAACAACTGAAGTAAGTAATTTTAAAAGTTTGTGTCTTACGCGTTACAGAATTTTCATTATTATAGACATAACAATAAAATATTACGTAATATAATTAAACATGAAAATATTATATTAATTGTTAATTAGCACATACTTTTTACTTTACATTGTTATCTAACTATTTATCTAATAATAAACAAAGCTCTGAAAATCACCATAAAGTGAAAAGTAGAAAGAAATATTAAATTATTGAATTACACAATAACCTTTCAGTTTTGTTATTCAAAATTTTATAGCTCTAATTTTTATAAACGTCAACAAAAATTTTAATAGCGTCGACCTGACCATGGCAGGCAACGTGTTAATTATTGTATTATATGTGATTTGAGCGTTATGTAAATTTTTCTTATATGAAATCGTAATCCATGCTCGCTTTTATAAATCAAACCTCGTTCGCCTCCGGGTATAGAACATCTCGGCGTGTTACGAATGTCCCGGGTGACAGAATTGTTTTCAGGTAGGAACGGGCTGGTCTCGCTGCTGCTTCCTCCGCTAGCGGGGGTTCCGGCCATAGGTGGTGTTTCCGCGATCCTTGGCACTGACGCGGCACTCGGCGTTGTTGGACCACTTGGCGTGTGGGTGGTGGTCGAAGCCAAGGTCGGAGTTTCCGCTCGACTGGACGCATAAGCGGCGCGATCGGAAAGCATCTGTTCTTCGCTTTCTCCGTCTGCTGGACTCACCACGAATCTCCCTGAGTTCGAGCGAAATTAATAGCTGGTAGGAGGAAGGATGTAATGCGACAGGCAAAGCGACAACACTTTCGTGCTGCTAGAGCGGAGATCGTTCGCGAATAGGAAGCTGGATAGGCACTCTCTAAAGCTTTTAGAGTGGATCTCATTTTGAAGACTGAAATGCCAATCTTATAGATTTAAATTTAAGCCACTTTTTATTAAGACTGGCTTATTTTTCACCTTTAAAGTTTCTACTCTAAAGAATTTAGAGAGCAGATAATAAAGGCCATTGAATCGGGATAAAATTAGGAAGAAAAAATTGAAGATATTTTGATTTTTACAAAGAAGTCATATGCAGAAAGTTTTGCTGAAATATTTAAAAATTTAGCAAAGCTACAGATCTAAAAATAATTAAATTATCAAAATAATTATAAAAGACTCAAATTGAATGTTAAAACTTTTTGCAGCATATTTATCATTCTTAAATTTCTTATTTAATTATTTTGATGTCCCAACACAATTATTTTCAGATGTGTATCTATAGCTAGTAGGTATTCTATCACATAAAAAATGTAAAAAAATTGTCAACGTTACACGGTGTTCCCAGGCGGTCACCCATCCAAGTACTAACCGTGCCCAATGTTTCTTGACTTCAGTGATCGGACGAGAACTGGTTTTTTAAACATGGTTTGAACGTTGACGAAAGTGTGTGTTGCATTTTGCTCGTATTATTCTATTATTTTATTGTACAAAAAAAAATGTAAAAAAATTGTCAACGTTACACGGTGTTCCCAGGCGGTCACCCATCCAAGTACTAACCGTGCCCAATGTTTCTTGACTTCAGTGATCGGACGAGAACTGGTTTTTTAAACATGGTTTGAACGTTGACGAAAGTGTGTGTTGCATTTTGCTCGTATTATTCTATTATTTTATTGTACAAAAAAGAATGTAAAAAAATTGTCAACGTTACACGGTGTTCCCAGGCGGTCACCCATCCAAGTACTAACCGTGCCCAATGTTTCTTGACTTCAGTGATCGGACGAGAACTGGTTTTTTAAACATGGTTTGAACGTTGACGAAAGTATGTGTTGCATTTTTCTCGTATTATTCTATTACCTACATATTTTTAGATGCTTCAACAAAATCTTTCCGTGTATAAAATAGCTTTGATATTATTAGGTGATAGGTAGATATATACACAGATATACACAGATGAGCATCAGATAAAGATGAATTAAGTACCTATTACTGTTGTTGGTTGTTGTTCCGGTGACGGGGTCGAAGATAGCCTCCGGACTGCCTCGCGTCTTAAGAATTCCACTTTAGCCATCTCAGTAGCAACCCAGTGAGGTATATCGGGAATCGCGCAAATAATCACAAATCGAATAGCGAACATGATATGTTCCAATGCCACGATTAGTAAAATGGTTTGCGTTGCTGACATCTCCGGAAACATTCGTTGCACCTGCCCACTCAATCCGATTAGAGCGCAGTTTACTAAAATAGCGACCAAGCCCATTGCCTCCATGGCGTTCTATCAAAATTAATTATTGATTGAACTATATATTTTTAATCTATACGAAATGTATCTCCTAATTTCGTAAACGGATTTGGCAAAGATATATAAAGAAAAATTCATTTTATTTAACTTTAATTTTAATTTACTATTATTTTGTATATATCTACATATATCGTTTAATCTCTTACAAGAATGTATATTATGCATTAACAAATATAATAACATTAATATTTTTTATATTATCGGAAAAAGATTTTATTTTTTTATAAATCATCAATAAACTATGGTGACTGTACAAACATAAATACACAAGAGTAGAGAATATATGATTCATTCTATATCAGAGTTCTAAATCGAAGTGATTCTGCAAATATCTTTCTTTTTTAGTAATGTACTTGATAATTTTTCTTAAGCATTACAAAAAATAAAAAAAATTGACGATAAATTATTTTTGATTTGATAACTGCAATAAGAATCTTTTAATAAAGACTTATACGATATCATAAGAACTTCCACTATAGAGCCTAAAATGATTACTTCGAGCACTTGTAATCAGATATGATAAGTATTTATTAAAATTCTCCTTTGACTACTTTGCTGGTTAAATTTACTCTCAAATTTACATTAGTGTTACATTATGAACTTTCGAAAATCGTTCTTCACTTACTTGCCATGTACCAATATTCGAGACCCTACGCCCGAAAGGTCGTTGAAGCACGAAACATAGTTTGAATGCGTCGCCGCGTAATTCGAGCAAATTCCCAAGTAAAGCGGCCATCGCAGCTAATGGAAATGCAGAAGAGAAGAGACAGACGTATCCTAATTGCGATAACATTTCCAGATGCTCTGAAAATGCTCCGTCATACTACAAATTGAAAATTATTATTTACAACTTAGGTAACATAATTTCGTGATTCCTACATATATTTTTTACAGGTATTTATAAATTACAAAACCTACTCAGAGATATTAGATTAATAATGTTATAAATTACATTATATATAAAATGTAGTATATTTCTTGGTGCGAATTTGTACTCTGCTATGCATAGAAAACATAGATATTTTATTGTTTATTTTATATAAATAAAAAAATTGCATGTTTAAATATATTAATATAATACTTAAAAAAACAAGATTTGTTAATTTCATTGCATATATTAATTAAATAATTATATATGTATAGAAGAATTTTTTAATTATACGAGTATAATCTATCAATATTCGGTAGAAAAAAGAAATAATTTCATTTCATTTAATATTTAATATAATCAATTTAATAAAAATGTTTAACACGATACTAACAAATTATATCTACACATAAATGTTTATCTTTGAATGGTTAAAACATTTCAACTTATCGTATTTTGGGCGTGGCTCCACGTGCATACATTAAAGAAAATTAAACTTTGGTAAAATACTGAAAACACGAAGATGCATGAGCTATGCGTGATAAGCCATAGAACTCTATTCCTTTCGGTCACTCTGCATAATTTAAAAAATATGTAAAAAATGTACTTGCAAATATTTTATTTAAAGAGTTAATACTTAGAGTTGAATAAACTTTTTTATAACTTTTTTTAATTCGAAACAGTATAAAACTATTATTACTTATAATACATAAATATTTAATAAGATTAGAGTTTATGTGAAAAAATAATACATATATATTGATCTAAAAATTAATTCAATTATTAAACTCATACTATACATTTTGCATTTTTGAGAAAAATCGCGACTGTGACAGAAAGGAATTGTTTTAAAGGTAGGATGAGTGTGATATTACCTTCCTGGTCGATACCTGTGCGTCGTCGATGGAATGAGTGTGAAACGGGATAAAAATCATTAAAATTCTGCAAAAAGAAATGATCTACACAAACGCAATGTGATATTGCTATCAATAGTTTGGCTTAGTCGTCATGCAATATAGAATGCGCAAAGTGCAGTCTGAGCGAAAAGAACAGACAGAAAGGTTTAAGAGAGGCGAGATAAATGGGTCGATTTATGATACGACGCGTTCGATTCACTCGCAGTTTCATATAACACTCTCGAAACTCAAGGAGACCTTGACGGGGTGACTGAAGCATCTATTAAGCATAATCTTGATAGAGAGATGCCCGATAAGTTCTCCTTATTTTTATATATCTATATAAGTTATGTTTTCGATTGCGAGTGGTTCGAAGATTGATATGCGTGTGCGGTGTAGTGTTTCCAGAAAAACGAAAGATCTATTGGCTAAATCTAGACCAAACCTTGAACGTAACGTCACTAAGTAGAGAATTAGTGGGATGCCCTACTCTGTAGAGGGAACTCTCCAATTCTGCCTGGCTGACGTTTCGCGGTTGCTTCGTTTTGCCACTGTCAGTCCGTTCGTCCTTCTCCTCGGTGTCCTTACCACCCTGAATTTCTTCACCCTCTTGGCCGGGGGGTGGCCTCGCCTCACTAGGACTCAGGGCTCCAAACAGCTCGAAGCTCAACCGTGCCAGCCGTAGTTGCTCGATGAGATATGGCACCGCGGATTCCTTCAGATTGCCGATCACTTGGCGAGCTATGAGTAGAGCCGCCAATTGCTAAAACAAAAATTTATATTCTCATTATACATATTACAGGAAAGACAGTTAAATTCTCACCTCCTTGAGTCTCTCTTGATCTTGAAGATAGAAGGCGATGTAAAACAGCGATAGGAAGGAGTTTACGAACTGAAACTGAAATTTAGGATAATCGTTATAGATTATCTGAAAATCGCAGTGGCGTTAACACACATATTATATATAGATACAAAATAAACATAAAAGAGCGGTTACGAAAGCTTGTGATGTATAAGATTATTAAGCGTAAGCAAAAAAGTGTTCTTTCGCAAAAAGAATGTTCATGCAGCGACAGAGACAGCCAGAGCAGGCACTTCTGCTTTAAAACAAAAAGCTTAAAGTCTACATTGTACTTTTCAAAATGTCCACTTCTAATATACGATAATTTTTTTTTAAGGATCGAGTTAATTTTTATTTAATTTATTTGTAAGTTTATTTGCCTCGATTGCAGATTAATTTATCAAATTAGTTCAATCTATGTGAGCAGTGAAATTATTTTGATTTTTAGTCAGAAAATTTTATAACATGAGTATTTAAAAAATTTTTACTTTTATCTTAAATATACACACACACACACATTACACTTATATTTTACATAGAATTTGTATCTACTCAAAATTCAATGTATAATTATTTCATAGTTCATTAAATTCAATTTCATACTCTAAAGCACTATTAAACTCCTTTGAATATAACATGTATATATATTTCCATTTTATTTTAAGAACTAATGCAAAATTAATTTTTGATTAAACAATCTATTGCAAAATGATTAAAATAATATTTCATCAAGTTAAAAGATTTATAAGCAAATTATAACATAATTACATAACGTTATTTATTAGGTATAGATAGCTATTAACAAAGCTTTTACAATTTCATTTTATTTAATATTGTTAAAAAAATATTTGTAATAACAAGAGAAAAACTGATAAATTTTTTGTATTTATTTAATATTATTTATCGTATTTAATTAGAGGAGGACAAGTGTACAACGTTTAGCACAACATTGATATTCTATTCGTTGAAAATGGAGAGTTCTTCTTATTACCAGTGCCACTTTGTAGATCAGATGATTCTCGTACTCGGTGTCTAGTCGATAGTTTTCTGCGTCCAACACACAAAAATCACAAATACTATCTACCGTACCATGAATGCTCTCCAGAATTTAAATGATAGCGAAACTGTATCTATATAATATGTCACGGGTTTAATCACATAAAAAAAAAAAAAACAGAACAACAATCTTTCACGTAAATGTAATGATGTTCTCGTTACATAATCTTTCAATTATTCTCTAGAAGAAGCTAAGCTGTGGAAAAATTATCGAAAGTATATGCTATGCTTTTGAACTAGACGTGCATAGTGTACCGTAGAATACACATATCGATGCGAAAAGTCGGCAAATGGCAATTGTTCGTATTTTGAGTCGCACGGAGATACGATTATGTTGAAAGAGAGAGAGGAAGAGTGTGAGAGAGAGAGAGAGAGAGAGAGGAGGGAAATACAGAAAAATAGAGGAAAATAGTGTAGGGTACAGGGGGACTCGATTATTATTGGGACACATACCCAAATCGTTTAACCACACCGCGACTTTGAAGTACGCTTCATCCATTAATGCAATCACTATTGCGAGCAACACCTTTGGCACGTAACTTAGCCAGAATCCGTAGCCTCCTGATTCGAGATGTGCGTCCCACCAATCCTGTAAGTCAAACAAGTTGAAGAGTCTACAGCATGAATTTTATATCAATCTTCAGTTTTCTCCTTTTAATTAAATACAAATCAGCTTTCTTCTTTGAATACAAATAAATTGAATATATGTATAATACATAATATTTATATATATTTAAGTCAAGTGACACAAAAGTAAATATTTGAATTTATAAATCCTACAATTTAAATAATTATTATTAGGTACAGTCGTCGCTTTTCTGTTTGTTTCCCCTCGATAATTAATTTAAATTTTTTTACGATCAATAACTTACAATGCACACTTGTATATGTACCTGTATCTGAAAACTCAGAATCATAACGATGAAGACGAAGAGTAAACAGATTGCAATAATAGGCACGCTCACGAAGTATCGAAACATATTTCTTCGCCATCTGGGATACGTCGGTTCCAGCCTACCCGTTACCGGTGAAACCTCCAGAGTTCCCTGAACATAGTTACGGCTGAATTAATTGATCAAATTTCCAACAGGTTTTACAAATGGACTTTTATTTGTCAAAAATTTCTCGCAGTAGTCTCTCTATTTTCAATTGTACGTAACAAAAGCCTATTCTAGTCTCATAGCGCTGTGCAGGTGTAGACGCTGGAGTAGCACACTACGGCATCCATGCCGACATCGGAGGTGCTAAGGCTTAAAAATGTTCGAAAGGTTCTTACTGTAAACAGAGGTCTAGGCTCGACCAATAAATCGTCCCTCTGATCCAAAGTGCCCCACCTGTACGCCAATTCCGCGCCCCTTCTTTTCCATGTCTCCAGGTATACGGTGGCCCATATCACGTTGAACACCGAAAACAGAACGTACGCCACGTCCTCCATCGCTTGGTTCCTACCGATGATGCCGACCTAAACAAACGAGATCTTATATTAGAGTTACTTATTTTTTAATAAATAAGTAAATTGTCTCTATGTGAGAGTCTTCACGGCTGTTAGTGCGTATAAATAATATGTTTATAAGACGATAAGATATAATTCGCAAATAATTGGAATGTACTGCAAACTTTTTATTTATTCTGGTATTTGAGTCCTTTTTAATGCGAAAAAATATCAAGTACAAAGTACAATGCAGTTATACTCAAATTTAGAATTGAAATGTTTGCGGTTAACTTCGTTGGTAAATACATTTAAACTACATATTTGCGAATTATATTTTATCGTCTTATAAATCCGTTAAGTCTATTATTTAAGTTTATGTACTAACAACCACAAATGCTTACATAACAATTTATTTATATTTGATTTATTCTCTTGAAACCACAAAACTATTTATTTTAATTTTATTTGTTTGAATTTTACATCATTTCGTTGTCTGGAAATTAGTTTATTCAAATCTAAATTTATGCCATTACATTTCGTTTATTAAATAAACAGGATTCCATACTTGCTTTATACTTGTTATTTAAATTGTAACAATAAATGAGACATGTATATACCCAATATATGACACCCACTGCAGCTGGAACGATCAAAGCGGTGGTGTAGTGGCCGAGCCAGGCAAAGTACATGGTGATTTTTACTCCGAAGTATTTACAAATATCATCCAACGGTTGGGGACTGAGGAACGCGCGGACCCAGCTCCGTTGCAGTTTCTCTAACGCAGGTAATTCGTGAAGAGGGAAGACCTGACGAAAGCATATAATCGCGTCACTGATTCTCCCCTTTGACGAGACGAGATTCAAAGAATCGTACAATTTCATCGAAGAAGATATGAATCTGGTATAATAAAATCAATATACGTATATCGCACCTGAGAAATAATACCGGCTGAAATGCACTTTGGGATAATTGCTTGACCTTCCACCATCTTGAGACCGGCTAGACTATGGAGATCTTGAGGACCGGCCCTCAGGGTGTGAAGTAAGTGCAGCACTAGAGACTGCTTTTCCTGGGTAGTGAAGAATCGGACCTCGTCGTCGCTGCCCTCGAAGCAGTTGGCCTCGGAGCCGACGAACTCCTTGAATCCTCCGCCGAATTCCTGCCTCAGGGACTTTGGAAGGTGCACCTCCTCGGCGGCTTTGAGCAGACTGTGAGACGATGAAGTTATATGGCTAGATGGCTGTTCTTAATCGTGCATGCGATTTCTCAAAGTATGTCTTACTGTATCGAGAATTGGATACTTACACGCTAAATGGTGCCGTAATGTAAAACCCGTAACTGTCCGACGAGGCGTGATGTCGCACGTGAACTATTAGCCCCGGGGTTCCAGCCCGGAGCCGACCTAGAAGCCACATCAAGGTCTCGTCGTTTGCTCCATTGGGGAACATCATGACTACGTCGCATTCCTAAAGAAAAAAAAAAGTCAAATTATTAAGCTTCTTACGTAGTTTATGTGACAAAAAGATATGATTGAATTTACAACGTCTATTTTTTTACATAATTTATCTATCTTTGTATGGACTGATCTGTGACAGATACATATAAACGTGTAACGATATATTCATATGTATATAATAGATCTGTCCTAAAAATATAATAAAAACAATTTAAATATGACATTTTATAAAAATAATTTATATATAGAAATTTAAAAAGTATAAGTTCTTATTCTACAGCTATATTGGTAGTTGTTAAGGATTGCAAAAAAATTTGAAAGAGCATATCAAGTTTATTAGACTACCATAAATCCATTCAATATGGTCTCCGAGGAATAGTTCAATGGTCTTACATGTCGTTTCGTGAAATATGCCCAACTCAATAAAAAAAAACGCTCGTAAATTTAGTGATGTGATCAAGTAATTACGTGCATTACTAGGTCAGCCATATTATCGGAGTATCGTTGTGCGCGAATTGGCAATACGTATATCAAGCGCAATACTAGTTGGATTTCAGCCAACTTGTTCTGATCCTCGAGCTTTAAGATTAGATGTAGAGGCTATTGCGAGTAAAATAATAAAAAAAAATCGACATTTATATAATCCTACATATGCTGATTAATTCTGCATAAGAAAATGCTTATATCTCTATTCTTGGTTTGCTATTTATTATTCTACATTTTAACAATATTGTACTAATAATTTCCTTTCTTCCTTTATCTTTCTTTTTCTATATAATTTATAAAATTAATTAAGATATAATGATGTAATAATGTTTCTCAGACTATTAAAAAATATGTAGTATATTATACATATATACATATATATATATATATATATATATAGTATATAACATTTACTGTAAAGAATATATCACAGCAAAAATATTCTTTAAATATACCAAATGCCATGATTTCTATTTGCATATAAAAATATGTATTATTACAAACAACGAAAACAGATATTGTTATAAAAATTAATTTGTGAGTCACGTAAATATGCAAATTCTATAGATAATATTATGTATATTATGGTATCTATTGCATTTATGTAAATTAAACAGATAACGCTAATGATATTTTTGTATTTTAAGAAGGATAGAAAAAGACAGAGAAATAGAAACTTATGAAAACTTATTAGAAATAACATATGCTCTTGTGTAATCAAGGATAGATTGAAATGAATTGAATAGATTCAGATTTTCAGAAATACATTATTTGCAAATGTTAAAATGAATCCTTTTTAATCCAGAATGCATTTTTAATCATTTATAGGAATTATATGAAGCACATTTCTATACTTTCTAATCTAAAAATAATAGATAAAATAATTAGTTTTTTCTATGCTGAAATTGAGCGAATACTATTCAATTTCAAATTCTGAATAGAGAAAATGCAGTTTTTTCAATCCAATTGCATTCAATTGAATCGAAAAAAATTGTTCGCTTTTTAAAATACACATTTAGATAGATAAAATTTTAATTCATTTTGATTCATTCTCATTTACTAATCATTGCAAGTGTTCAATATTTCATAAACTGACATATCCAAGATAAATTCACTTTACATCGTGCTAACATGACAAAAATCGAACCCGCAATTTAAGACGGAATAGTAGAAGGACAAACAAAATGGTATAGAATCAACAATGTAGCTTGAAAGAGTAAACCTCGCAATACACGTAAAGTTATTCGGTATCCACTAATAGCTTGTTTAACGTGTACGATCGATATTATTACTTCCATAGAAACAGAACTACCATAATCTATAACGATTAATGTTCATAGAGTGTTTAATTCGATAATCCAATTCAGAGGCAATTTAAAAATAAAGTTCAGGTTTAGTATTATATTTTTGTTAGATATATATATGTCAATGTGTTTCTCTTATCAGATTAGATTTTCACAATGATATCATCGAACCACCTTCTACAGAATGATTGATGAAGATAGTCACGTACAGGAGGAAGAAATAGACATACTTGAGTACCTATCGCTAATGGCATCACACAGACACTACCATTATTACTGTGACCACAGCAGTCAAGTGTTGAAAGGATAAAAACGATATTGCATTACTAGAACTAACATTGTCTTTCAGCGGTTTAAAGTATCCGCGCATTTAACTATACTCTAACGTACAGAATAATCGGTGAAACATATATGACGTATATCTCATTCTTTTAACATCTAAAGATTTACACAGATCAATAATTGATCTGTGTAAACATTTTTATTATACAAAAGTTACTGTGACATTGGCATAAATTTCGAGTATAATTAGACGAAATTCGCTTTCTGAAGTAATTGAAATTCAAATATTCTGTTCAGCAAAGTGTTTGCTAACTAATATTTCGCTAAATTTAATGTCGAATAATATTTCAAGTTTCATAATATTCACAAAAACACCTTTATTAAGTTATTTAATCTAAGTATTACTTTCAACCAAAAAGTTATAAAGTTTTACGTTGCTACTGTGATGTCGACTGAAAGATACGAATTTCCGTTGAGACATTCGTTCGCGAAATTATATTATCCACGACGTCGAGCGAATATTTAATAGTTTTATTCTTCCTTATCTTCTATATCCATAATAATTACATTCAACTTTCTACTTAACTGTATTTCAAAATACTTTAAGTACATACCTGAGTAGGAACCTTTTGTATCCATAGGCGGCGGGGGGTCATTAAATGGCCTGTACATGGTATTTTTCGTCTTAAAAGACGGGATGCTATAAACAAACACATATTCATAATCATTGAGATTCAATTTATGTCAAATATATCCTCAATTCATATTATGATTGAACTAAGACTTATAGGAATGAATGAAAGTTTTATGTCTTGGTGTATACGCGCAGTTTCTGCAGAATTTAATTTTAATCTCGGTTATTTATTAACATGACACGTGTGTAACATCGTTTATTGATTCTTTTTTTAACCGATATGTGTCGCCTTAGTTTCATGTAGGTGTTCACCTTTTTTTAAATCAATTTTCGAATTATTTAGATGAAACTTCGACTTTACTTGCGAGAAAATAAATTTATCATATTGCAACATTTAAAGACGACTTTTTAAATAGATCATCTGTATGTTTCTGTGTTGAAAATTATACAAAACTGTTACAATAAGGATCGCGATCGCGCGTATATTTCTAACGGAAAAGAGGGCATCGATTCCTCTTTCCTCGTGGGAAATTTTCAAATACTATAATATACATATAATACAGAGTAAATATAGACTTTTATCACATGAGCACATTTTCTCTTTTTTTTTCGTTTATTGATAAATTATATGTTGCTATGAAAAAATAAAAAGTGATAATTTGTAGCTATATTTTACAATAGAATACAATTGATATAAAAGAAGGAAAAAAACATCTTTTTAGATATTCAATCCATTATTTGGATAATTTAGCGATTATTTCGTTATGACGCACATATTCCAATTTTGTATACTTTGTGAAGAGTAACTGACGTCAGTTAACTTCAGTCATAGTTTGATTGTCTCTCTTGTTTGTAGAAAGGGACGGAGAAACAATTAAACTACGGTTAAAGTCAATTGATGTGGTAAGAATCGGTTTCTCCGGACACGTGTAACGAAAACCAGGCAGTAAATTATACGCCGTGCAAAGGATATGCCATTAATCTCGCATACACGAAAACGTGTAATGACTAAAAATCTCTCGACAAGATAAAGTATGTGCGATTACTTTGAGCGGAGTCGAAGGTATCTAGTGTAGGCGTGAAGAAGGGCATCCATCTATGTCGACCGCAAAACTTTAAAGCTCTCATCAGGATATACTGTCGTTAAAGGTAAATTTCGAGTATGCAAAAACCAGGTTTTTTTTTAGAAAATGATGAAATATTTGTGATCTTTTTTACAAAGTTTTACACAAAATGCTCAGTTTCCCTATTTATCTTTTTTTTTTTTTAATCTAAATAACTAGAAATTTTTATTATAGTTTAATTAATGTGGTCAAGTTACATAACTATATATAAAGCGAAAAAATAATAAATGGTCTACAGTTTCAAAAAATTATTAAACAAAATATTTTAATAATTAAATAAATAATATTTACAGCTTTGTGTAAAATGCATAAAACAATAATATTTGACTTTTTTCTATTTATTTTTATTAAATTCCTTATATATGAGAATTCTTTTATAAAATTGCGATTTTATATAACGAGCAATATTATAATAGTAAATATAAGCTTTAAATCATTGTTTTTACTAAATTACTATTTTTGGAACTTTCCCAATAATGTAGAGACAATGTAGCGTAAATGATGGCAAAGTTCCAACAGTAGTCAATCTAGAAGGATTGCTAATGCAAACGCATACCTGAGTTATTCAGTATTTTGTACCCTGTTATCTCACAGAGTAGGAATATAATTTGAATTATGATTTTCACGATTTCCACGTGCAGTATTCCACGTGCAATATTATCAAAGCAATTAGGTTACAGTATTTCATATAAGAGGTCTCTTTACAGAACCATTTTCATTTCTCTATTTTTTTCATTTATATTTATATATAATATATATGTACATATATATACATATATTATATTTTTCTCATTTATAGGTTCTTCTATGCAATTAAAAAAAAAACAGTGTGTTATATAGAAAAAGAGAATTTAGCGTATGACATAATAATTTAAGCGCAAATATTGATTCTTCTTGCACTATGACGAGATAATTCATGTGCAAATATTGGTTTTTCTCATCCCTTTATAAACCTCAAAACTATTCAGTCTATTCAAAACATCTTGAGAGAGATATTCTCGAAACACGTTATGTAATATGAAATATTATTTAATACGGAAGAAGAAATTATTTACGTTCTTATTTTTAAAACATTTTTATTTTTCACAAATAAAAAAATTATATATATATATATTTTTTTTACGAGTAAAATGTTTTATACTAGAAATAAATTAATGTCTATAGACTGTCAGTTTTATTACTTCCTTAATTATTAATGCTCTGATGCGCCACAGCTGCACGCGTTCGCGCGGAACTATTTAAATAATTAATAACTAGAGAGCCAACAGGTCAGAAATTCGCACCTCTGAGATATAGAATATATGCTGTGGTTAAGCTGCCTTGGAAGGTCCCCATACCGAATCCCTTCGGATGAACCGTTGCTGAAATGCTACCACTACATCTCATTTCAGTAGGAAGGGATGAAAACGAAGAGAGAATCCCTTTTACGTCACAGCGTACGTACAGATGTATATATCTATACTTTCGCGCGGGGTGCACGCTATCTACATCTCGTCTACGGACGATGCTGCACAAAACGCGGAAATTACGGATGTGATCATTTCGAACGAGAAATCGCGCGTTTCCGTTAAGGACATCGTTTAACATTGTTGATGCGTGCATCACAGACACCACGTTTAGAGAAAATATTATTTTACTCGGCAATGTGAGACATATGTATATTTTAAAATTTAGATTTATTAATATTAATACACATATATATTTTACAATATGTATTACAATATATAAACTCTGTTTATATATTTGGTACCATTTCTTTCTTACACTTTTCATACTTATACTATTTATTGATTTCTTGAGACTAGAACTAAAATATACATCTCTCTTTACCAAAAATATTTAAAAATATATTATAGTTTATTTTTTACTTTTAAGCTTTATTGAAATTTGTATATTTCCACAAAATTATAGGATATGAATATGTTAGTATTATATTTTCAAGTAGCTATAATATAATTTTAATTTTTAATTTATATAATTATTAAAATATGACAATTCATTTTTTAATTTTTAAATAAAAAATAGTTGAAAATTACTGTGTTTTATTATTTATAAATATTTTTACTACATTAGAGAGATTCTCTTTTGATTCTTGTTTATAAAACACTTGTTTCAACGCAATATGTAGCAGCATGCCTCACATTTTTTCTCAATTTATGCCGTCATACATTTCACGTTCAACTGCACGAAATTATCGGAAGATTTTTCGTCTACAATTTACGCGATATATTTTTTCCACAGTATAATACTCTCAAAAAAATGTTAGCAGGAAATTGTTTAGCGTTGACAGATTGAGATTAATTTTGTTTACGTCTTTTGATCTAAATAACGTTTTTAATTATTTTCTCATCTATAAAAATCTTACATTTATACATTTTATACATTTTGCAAGTATATTACAAACAAGTCTTCTTTTCTCGAAGTTGACGAAGCACCCCTACAAATAACCATTTGTGCTTCACACAAGAACTTTTTTACTCGAGTAGTCATACTTTATCGACTTGATATACTCAGAATGAGGTCAATGCACTTTGTTTACACTTGCAGTCCGATGACATCGAACAGTGTAAGACTTGAAGGCGCCAGCGCATCTATAAAACTATGAAAGCTTTTTCATGTTGAGCTTTCTCGAGGAAAAAGCTTTGCAAACAGTTTTGCAATAGAATTACGTTAAAACGTATGAGTAGAATAGAATTATCTTTAGATATCTTCCTTTTCTTTTCACTCTATCATATTAGATAGTTAACCTAGTTGCCATTCTTGCATTAAAGTCACCTTGAATATCCATAAATCTTCATATTGAAAATTCTATCCTTAATTTTTATACATATATTTTAAATTTAAAAGTGAAAATGTATTATAGGTATAGAATTATATGTTTCTTATATTAGCTCTTTTAATTTTATATTATTATAATTTATTGCGTCTGCATTTGGCCTATTTTGCTTTTCTCCTCTTTAAAAAATAAAATGAAGTTATTATATTACAGTAAAGATGATTAATATTATATAAAGATTTAATGTAAAGAAATGATTATAAAATGTAAAATGAAGTCAATTTAAAGTGTCATAAGATTTTTTATAATGAATGTTAATGCGATAATATTGTAATATAACATGATTTTATCAAAGTAACGTGGCTTTGATTAAAGTTTTTTTCAAGAAAGACCGCGAAGGAAGTTTATCTCTCTGTGTTAAACTATATTAATATTATTTCACATTAAAGCATTTTACGATTGGATTATATCATAATTAATAAAACCAAACAAAAGTCGATTATATTATAATAAATATATTATAGTTTTCTTGGTCAAAATATATATTATACAAGTTATAAATTTTTTGCGATATTCTTAACAGCGTAGTTACTTCAACGGAATATACGTTGTATAAACTTCTTCTTTACTTCTTTCACGGATAGGGATGGTTTAACTTAGTTGTCTATCAGAAATTTCCTCTTTCATGAACTTTTCCAGAATAGCAAGAAGAAATTTATAACAACAAAAAAAAGTACAAAGTTGAGAAAAGTTAAAAAATAGGATTTTATACTTAATACAGATCTCAATTGAATTTATGAAAAAATTGATATAAAAGAATTTTATATCAATAATTCTTTAGATAATGATTTATAAATAGACTAAAAAATAACGCACTTCGAATAATGACCTTTCTACCTGCTGTTAAAACTTCTTTGTTACCGTGAATATCAAACGAAAACCATGTTCACTGAAATTTGCATTGAAGTCGTGACACCATTTCGTCATTTTAAACTCACGTACGTTGTTTCAAACCGGCAATCAGTGCAACACAATGCAAGTAATGCACAGTGTGTAACATCATTCGGTTCAATGCGCAATTGTGATGTGGCAGAAAAACAGGTCAAGTAGCCGTATTCAAACAGCAGATTGGGACCAACGTTAACAAATGCTAAACGTTCCTTTTCACTTTATGTCTTTTAAGAGTTGCACTTTCTAAGAACATCGGTAACTTCCTTCGAACCTTTTTAACTTTGCCATTGTCGGAGGTTGTCTTCTTTTAATATTAATACAAGATTGGACAACTTGAAGGACGCGGTATAGAAATCTGATCTTAAATCTTCCTTCGAATTTAAATTAATTAAACCGAGATTTTTAAGTTTGAGACTGATATACGTATTTAAATTTAAAAATATTGAAAAAATTAAAAAATATGTATATGAAACTAGAGGCAGAATATAGTTCATCCTTTTACATTAGGCAAATTTCGCGCCACTTGCCAAATGAATTCGGGTTAACGTTGTTTTCGAGTTGGAGCCGAACTAGTCTCATGTGAATTTCGTGCTAACCAAATTTGTTAATAAGACGTTCTTGGGACTTTGATAAAGCCGAAAATTTCGCGGTTGTTAAATTAGCTATTCATCATGATCTTCATTCTGTCGTAAAATTGTATACATATTAATTAACTTTTACGTTTACCGTATATTCAAAATATGATATTGTAAATGTTTTTAATACCAACTTAAATATTTCGGGACAAAGAATTTTTGAATCAAATTTAATTTCTACAATCTAATTAAATTTGATTAAAGATTTGTGAGTATTTGTAAATAAATATCCAAGATATATGATATCTTTACAAAAATTAAAGAAACAAAAACAATTTGTTATGTAAATTGAAAAAAGGGTATATTTTTACATTTATATCCAATTTCTTTTTGTTTTGCACGTAATTTCCGAATTTATTTTTATGTAAACTAAAAATTTAGTGGTAATTACTTAAACGTTAATATTGTAATTTCTTCTTTTTTCGAATATATTTAGTTTAAGGTTTCAGATTTTATTAATATTATATTATAATCGAATTATATGTACCAACTGTTTCGTAGATATTATCTAGTAAACTATTTTTACTAAACACACATACATATAACTGATGTAGCACATAATGCATTCAGCCCACGTGTGAAGAATCCTTACGTAACTCCGGTGCGCGCATGAAGTACGTCAAATGTTAAAACTGGCAAAGCATACAAGTGAGATTTTGTCATAGAAGTACAATATTTCGTGCATTGCAGCTGTTTCTATAATTCAAGACTGAGTTTTCATATTAAACAAATCAATTACAACTTATGAAACTAAATGTTTCATATGTTTTGAACTTAGATATCTAATATTACGGAGAGTCTTCCATCATTAAAAATAATATTTTCCAATTTGTTCTTGATTACAAAATTTTGCATTTATTCCTGTTATTATTTATTACACAGTAAAAAAGGAATATAATAATTGTTTCATTATTATTAATAGTAATTAATTTATTATTACTTCTCTCCTATATAATGATTTATTAATATAGTAATATATTTTAATAATAATGTATACATTAGTATATTAAACTTATTATTAAATACGTAAGCATTTTATATAAGTTTATCACATGTTTTAGAATTTTATCTTTATCGTATTTTTGTTATCATTTTGGAAAGAAGGAAAGAAGTATTACAAGCTTAAATTTGACATTGATTTACCGTCATACACGTGTAATGCACAACAGGAAATTTAAATTTCGTGACAGGTATGTTATGTATTCGAGGAAGATGTTATCGATTAAACATGAAATAATTTCTATTTCATGTTTTATCACGCGAAAGGATCTCGATGTATCTGCGATGTATTTATATCAACCCGCATAAATGCCATAACAGCAACCATTTCGAAAGTGCAACTGCAACATGGCGGTCTAGAAACATCGAGGTCATCAAAAGGAATCAACATAACATAAAACATGTTTTTTTTTAAAAGATAGTTATCATCGTAAATCGAGCGCGGTGTCATTTTGTTGTACCGCTATAAACCGCATAAATTTATCTCTCCCAAAATTTATGTATTATTTATGAGTCTCATCATGTTTGCAGATACATCAATAGAATGAATCTAACATACTAAATATACCCATGATATCATTAAAATGCAAAAATGTGAAAGTAATCGCATAAATCTATGTTTACGTATTGCTTACTAATTAACGTTAGCAATTAATCCGACGTTAACGTATGAGTCCAATTAGAATATGTACAATGAATACCTAAAAACGTTCGTATTTCGAAATGTCTGGGTACTTTTATAGGAGAGGTTAATAATAAATTCAATGCAGCAAGTGATTCGATCTGTAAGATTTAAATTTGCATTCTATGATATCTGTCTCTCAATCTGATCGCAGTATTAAATGCGACACGCGTACACGATCGAAAGACATACATAACTTGCAAAACGGTATTCAAGTAGAACACGAATCATCGTGACATCAAAGTAACTCCAAAATGATCACTAAAAGTCACTGTTTAATCATTTACGATTTACTTTGACATCATCGTGATTTCTTGTTCTGCTTAAATATTAATACATTGATTTACTTTTCTACGGTTACTTCATTAAACGAGGCTAAGAACGGATCGGAGAATGTTCCACTTATCAGGCGGCATTATGGGGAAGGAAGATCGATCCCGATATCCGTGCACCAGAAAGTTAAAAGGAATTCGGGGCTAAATATCCGCAGCGATGAATGGTTGCGCGAGGTTTCGTAAGTGACGATGATACGAGAAACGCGAAGATGATATCGCGAAGAGACGAAGAAGTGGCGCCTGACTCACCCTTATCGAGGGTCTCTCGGGCCGCGTGTATGACCTTTCTGCGACGGAGACCGTCGCCCGCTAGGGCGCTCGTCATCGCGCTGGTGAAGGTCGTGCCGGTGCTAGTCGCCGATGACGCGGTCCTAACATCGTCGCCGTTCGCGCACTCGTTCGTCGTGGACGTGGTGGCGGCAGTCGACGCGCGATTATGGTGGTCGAGGAGATTGATCGGGGACCCCTCGCCGCCTGGCATAATGTCCCGGACTGCCAGGGACCGTAGTCCTTAGCCGGAGGACTCTTGCGCCTCAACTGGACTGTGACTTCTCTCACTACGTCGTTCTCGTCCGCCCTCTCCCTCTTTACCTCACCCCCATACCCACGGTTTCGTTGCACCCACCCCTCTTCGTGGCCTCGTCACTCCTCACCCTTCGCCGCCTATCGTGCCACCTAGTCGTCCGCTTGCACGATGACGACGAGGGGGTGAGATCCCTACAAGCATCCCCCATCATATTTCCGGTGCTAGAATGCTATTCCCTCCGTGACGTGGCACCATCTACACAAAGGGGGTTGAACATTGCCGATCGATGGCGGATATAAGGATAGGTTTTAGCCGAGGCGCGAGATGAAACTCGTCTTGAGAGTTGAGAAAAGTTACTAGAACGGGGTAATGTAAAATTTAAATCTAAATCTATTCAAATCAATTCACTCATAAATTTTACAAACATTTTTTGTGTCTGTACTTAAAAGAAATTTATAAAAAATTTATATCTCTCTTTTTTTTTCAAATAAATAAAGATTCGTAAGTAAACGGGCTAAAATATTTTGCACCCCGGTAAGCAAGAAGTTTTAAAATTTCAGTAACGTTGCAGCAACCTCGTAACGTTGTTGCTGCGATGTTGCTGGAATGTTCTAAAACGTTTCTTGTTTACTGGAACTACACCTATCGGATTACTTAGGAAAATGAAAAAAGAATAAAAAATACTTTTGTTTTCTTGCGTTTTCGTATCTTTATTAAAATACTTACACGCTTAACTTACACGTATACTACACAAGTATGTAGTTAAATTAAATAGACTTAGCTTCCTACACGTTACTCGCGCACACAAGTCGAGCTTCCGCGCTTCGACCTCGCTGAAAGAACGCCGGCACACGCTCGGCGCCCTTTTTATAAGCACGCGTCGCGACAGTCGATCGATTTGCCGCTGGCGACGCAGAATTCCTTCCCTGAAGGGGACATCTCTTTTCACAACTGATATCACGTTGGCATTTTGCTTTTAACCCTCCGACACACATTATTTGTCGCGACATCTTGAGCGATAAAATATCTCCTAGCGATAAAATATCTTCTCTAAATAAAGGTGCCTAGAGAAGAGAATATTGATCATTCCTTATGTGTGAAACTTGCTGATCAATTCACTGTTCTGCTATTGCGCTGTAATTTAGCTGACATTTTAGGTCAAACGTTAATTTATCTTTTGTGACGTAAAATGAGATTTTTTTTATTTGATTTAATTGTGTAATTAAGAGATTTTATGTATTTCTATGTACGAAAAGTAATCTGAGAAAATATTCGTATGAAGAAGATATAACTGTAGTTTTAGATATTGATGAATATGACGATTGTTGTAAATTCGATTTGTTAACGTATCTCTATCAATAAATAAAAATTATGCAAAAAAATGCAAAAGTTAACACTTTCCTGTCCGGTGAAGTTTAATTCAATTATTCGATTTTATTTGGTTCTTTCAGATCTATTTAAAATCGATATATGTATAAGATTACCATTTACAAACATGTTAATGTAGAAAATTTTACTAAATTATTCAATATCTTTTACTGTATTCTTCGACAATAACAGATACTCAATAAATCGAGATTTCTACTTGCCATTTACAGTTTATCTTTTAACAATCGGACAAGAAAGTGCTAAGAATAATCCCACACAATCGAATTATCGTATTTCCCTCATCTCGTCATAGCATCATCCATCTTGGGTCTCGTCATTACACATCGACCCCTGTAACAAATTTCTGTCATGTGAGACACTTTCGTTGTAGTCGAGGTTTTTAGGACCCTGCCTAGCATCGTAGAGTTCGTCCTAAATATGTTACCCATTTGTCTGCTGGATGTTTTCGTGGTCGTCGTGGAAGGTTCCGTTATTAAAGTCTCCTCGGACAGTATCAGCATGTTCGTGGTCGTGTCTGGAATCAACGTGGTCGTTTCGAAATTAATAACGCCCTCCTTCGTCGTCGTTTCTTGTATTTCTTTAGGTTTTGTTCCATTCTCTTCAACCTCAACACGTTGCGTTGCAAAAATATCCTGTGGAGGGTTAGTCGTGTCGACTTTTCGATCGATCTCTTTATTTTCTTTCACGCTCGCCACGTGCGCTAAAGCAGTACTATTCATGTTATAATTATCTCTCTCACTTTTAGCTTCGATCACTTTCGCAATCTCCTCATCCTCCTCGGCGTTTTTCATACTGTCGAAGATAGCCTTCACGTAATCGGAGAGTGTTTTCACAGTGCTCTCGCCCTCGTTTCGCGTAACGATGCCGGGGATAGGCGTCGTAGTATATGAATTCAACGTAGTTTGTGACCTATCAAAATCCGACGGGTATTTCACTTCGCTCCATTCGATTTTATGATTCTTCGGGTGCGCCTCGTTATCTTCGATATTTTCTTGCCTCTTTAACGTCATTATATGTTCCTTCTCTTTACTGATGGCACTCAATTTTCGTTTATCTTCTTTTGGAAAGCCAGCTAGTTTCGTTGTGCTATCCTCGTTTTTCTTCGAATTACCTGATCCATTGGGATAATTTAATGGTAGGTTATATCTTTGATTAAATATTTCGACATTTTCCAAACTACTTTGCTCTCTTTCGTCTTCCTGAGAATTCTTGTATTTTTTTGGCTTAGCTTCTTTTTGCGCTTCAGTTTCTCCCAAATGAGTTGTTCCTTCGGTTATCGCTTCCTGGGACTCATCGTTTGATTTGTTTAAATTTTCAGTCACCGTTGTAGTGCGTTCTTCATCAATATTTGCTATCAGCGTCGTATCGATCGGCGTGTAATTCTCTTTCAACGTTGTAATTTGGCCATCGTCAGAAAAAACGTACGGTGTCGTCATTGGTGTCGATATCGTCCAGTTGGGTATTTCAGTAGTAATCGAAGTGATACGAGTCGGAATGGAGACTTCATCATTCTTCAACATCTCTTCCAGAAAATCCTGGAGAAGCGATTTCTTGGTCGATTCTGCGGCTGTCGTGCTACTTGTGGTAACGGTCGTCGCAATCGGCTGGGCGGTGGTAAACCGCGAGTCGCGAATCGGATTGTACTTGTATTGATCTTGAACCAGGCTGTTCACCGCAGAATTGTAGTGCTGAGATTCGGCGGTGACGAAATCGTCCACGAGAGGTCTTACGCGCACGCGAACTTTCCTTCTCCGAGTCTGAAACATAAATTTTTTATTTAGCCTGTATATTGTCTCCTGCAGAATAGAATATCACGAAAAAAGGATTTCAGAGAAATAACTTAAAGGACCCCGCATTAATTATATAGAACTGGATTCTAAAATGCATTAGTTTTCAAATATAATTTAACTTGTAAATGTGGTGAAAAAGAGACGTCATAAATATTGTATAAGGCTCAATAATGTTTTGAGCTATGGTTTTACATCTTTGATATCATAACTTAAAAACAAATCCATTATTGAGCCTTGCATCTTGTATCTATAACATCTTTTGTTCACCATATTATAAGCTGTGAAAACTAATTCAATTTTACGGAACTCAATTTTGCATATAATTAGTGTAGGACTGTGATTAGTTTTAATGCTACATTCAAATTCGGTATTGTTTACGTGTTATTTGTTTAATTGTTAAACAAATAACAATTAAACAATACTGTAATTTAATCAACAATGCTAATTATTTATTCTACAGAAATAATAAACTGCTCTATACTTATATTTTAGAAATATACTTTTTTATTTTAAAATATTTTATAATATTTTACTTTTCTATTGGTAAGAAAATCAGACTTTATTTTAGAATATTTTACCTTTCTATCGGTAAAAGATTCTATTTTAGAATATATTTTACCTTTCTACCGGTAAGGGAATCAGATTTTGTCTCCCTCTCACTGTTATCCATTTGTTTCGTAAGGTTTTCGTTTTGGTTGCTCGTCCAATCTCGCGATTCTGGCAACGTTTCCTTATCGCTTTGGGGTTGATCCTGAAGTACTGTTGTCGCTAAATTCGTCACTGGTGTCGTAGCGTTCAATTTCTCCGTGTGATCCTGCGCATTCGTTTTCCATCCGAAACCATCCATCATTGTGTCTTTATTGTCAGCATCGTTTAGATGTTTCTGATAGTCCGAGGAAACGACCATCGTGACCGACGACACCTCTGGTCCAGCCGTAATAATCTCAGGCGTATTTTCATTCTCCTGATCATTATCGGTTCTGCTTCGGCTTTTCTTCGATTCACCAGCTACGCGATTCGAAGCGAAGCTCGGCTGGAACGACGTCTTTGACAGCTTCGTAGACCACTGACTTTCGGCACCGTAAATATCACCGGTCGACTGTGCGCTCGCATCCGGGCGATTTGAATGGCTATACTTCTTTGGTTGAATACTAGCCAGCTGAGTCTGATCGTATTCTTCACGTTGCGACACTTGTTCCGGCAGATTGCCGAAGTTTAGAACAAATTCTTGAGGAGGATACTGAAAACATATACATTACATTTAAACAATCTAAAGAAGCGAAATGTATTTTGTAAAAAGGAAATTAATAACAATAATTTAGCTAAATATTTATATAGCGACAGCTTAACATGCTTTCAAAATCGTTTCTTTATTTCAAAATTGATACAACTCAAAAAATATAATTTTCGAATTATTACTATAAATAAGTTAAGTTAAGATAAATATATAATAAATATAATTAATAAGTTAAGATAAACATTATTATCAAGTAAAGTAACTCAATTTTATAGAAAATCATCAAAATCATTACCACTCAAAAAGTATGATTTTTGAAAGAAGCCATCGAGAATTAATATAATTTAAGAAGAGGGTTGTAAAACAAAAATAATATTTGATTAAAACAAATTAGAACAATTGAATTTACTTACGTTTTCGCTGTTTTCCTCATAAAATTGTGTCGGTCGATTTTGATTCGACATGAATTGCGGCGTGACGTCAAAATTATCTTCGTAGAGAGGCTGTTGTCCGCTCGCTGTCACTGGCAGCTGTTGTGACGTTATTCGAGGGTAGTTTTCGTCTAGCGGTAATTCGTTGTTTG